TGGACTGCATATCTGAACATCACCAACCTGGAGTCCAGCCTTCAGCCTTCAGAAACGTCAAACTACACGCTGGTCTCTCAGGGCATGTGAGTCAATGTCTTCAGATTCATCTCTGAGGTTTAAATGTTATGACTGCTAGCATGCGTCACTCTGGGAAATTATGAAAGAAAGTAAGTCAGCGTGAAATTGGTTCTGACCCTGCTTAGTTTCTATTGACATTCCTGGACTGACATGTTTTTTTGGACACGCTTTGGTTCTGTAGTACATACTCGAGTAGCAGGCGATTTCGGACGCAGCCATTTAGTTTAATTGTTGAAAATCTTATCTCGGCTAGAATGAAATCAGTTTTTTTAAAGCCATTATTACACATGAGATATTAAAACTATTATGTTTAGAAATGTGCTGAAAAATCAATTGAGGAAAATTATAAAAGAATTACGATTGAACAGGAGGACCGATAATTCTGGCTTGAGCTGTAGCACAATAATCCTGGAGAAACATCGTCTTATTTTTCTGTTCTGCTATATATGATCCAAATGTCACTAAGTCATGGTGTTTTTTAATATTTTGTTGCTGTTTACTTTCTCAGGCGTAAGTTCACGCTAACCGATGGTATTCAGTCGTGTGAGTTTTCGCGGAAGTTTGGCTTCGGTTCCTCCTACACTTTCCTGATCCCCAGTGATCTGTTCTCCACTGATGTGAGTGCTTCAGTAGAGCTTTATCATCATGCATTCATTCATTCATTCATTCATTCGTTCATTCATTTTCCTTCACTTAGTGCCTTTATTCATCAGGGGTCAACACAGCGGAATGAACCGCCAACTTATCCAGCATATGTTTTACTCAGCGGATGCCTTTCCAACCGCAACCCAGCACACTCATTCACACACACTCATACACTAAAGCCAATTTAGTTCATAAGTTCCCCTATAGCGCATGTGTTTGGACTGTGGGGGAAACCGGAGCACCCGGAGGAAACCCACACCAACACGAGAACATGCAAACTCCACACAGAAATGCCAACTGACCCTGTGAGGCCACTGTGAGGCGACAGTGCTAACCACTGAGTCCCCTTGATGCCCTATTATTATTATTATTATTATTATTATTATAAGTGTTGAGTTTTCTGGTTTCTATACAGTGTTTGTTCAGCATGAATGAGCGCACCTCTCACAGATCTCTCTTTTTAAATTCCTATAATTTCCTACTAGATGCTTTACAGTAATAGATTTGTGCAGATACTTTAGATTAGTCAGTACCAAAGACAAAACTAATAAACTAATCTAACAAAAAAATCTGAAGAACACAGGTTAAAAATGAATACACCCAAATTAATGTCAGGGAAAAATATTAGAAGAAAGAGAGACGCAAAAAATAATAATTTTAGTATCAATTTTGCATTTTATATATATATACATACAGATACAGATGAAGTCAGAATAATTCACCCCCCCTTAGAATTTTTCTTTCTTTTTTAAATATTTCCCAAATGATGTTAAACAGATTCAGGAAATTTTCACAGTATGTCTGATAATGTTTTTTCTTCTGGAGAAAGTCTTATTTGTTTTATTTTGGCTAGAATAAAAAAACTTTACATTTTTTAAAAATCATTTTAAGGTCAGAATTATTAGCCCCTCTAAGCTATTTTTTAAACCACTGTTATACGATAACTTGCCTAATTACACTAATTACCCTAGTTAAGCCTTTAAATGTCATGTTAAGCTGTATAGATTAATATAGTCTTGAAGAATATCTAGTCTAATATTATTTACTGTCATCAAAGATAGAAATGTGTTGAGAAAAATCTGGGTTACGCAGCGGCAGTATGTAGACGCAGTAGGTAGTGCTGTTGCCTCACAGCAAGGTCGCTGGTTCCAACCTCGGCTCAGTTGGCATTTCTGTGTGGAGTTTGCATGTTCTCCCTGCGTTTGCGTGGGTTTCCTCCGGGTGCTCCGGTTTCCCCCACAGCCCAAAGACAGGTGAATTGGGTAGGCTAAATTGTCCGTAGTGTGTGTGGATGTTTCCCAGAGATGGGTTGCAGCTGGAAGGGCATCCGCTGTGTAAAAAAGTGTTGGATAAGTTGGCGGTTCATTCCGCTGTGGTGACCTCGGATTAATAAAGGGACTAAGCCAACAAGAAAATGAATGAATGACTAAAAATAATCTGCTCTCCGTTACCCAGAAATTGGGGGAAAAAATAAACATGGGGGGCTAATAATTTAGGGTGGTACTAATTCTGACTTCAACTGTATAAATACATATGTTTGATCTTTCTATTCTTAAAGATGTTCTGTAATTTGTTTAAATGCACCAAATGTTTTTGTTTTGTATTTGCTAAAATATTCAATTTCAAAAGAGGGTGTGCTCATCCATGCTGTAATACATTGAAACTATAGTGCCTTAATCGTTATTTATTGCCAAACACTACTCTGAGGAAAAATACACACTTGTTTTCCTATAAATAAATACATACTAAATGTGTGTGTGTGTGTGTGTGTGTGCATGTGTGTTTGTGCGTGCAGTGTGAGTCAATAAAGGAGATTGAAGACATGCAGCCCAACTCGGTGCACATGGCTCTCCAGATTCCTCAGTATTTCCTCATCACTACAGGAGAGGTCATGTTCTCCGTCACCGGTCTGCAGTTCTCATACTCACAGGTAGATCACACACACTGCACAAAACATGCATTTCATACTGTGCGTTTTTGTCTTCTAGGTATGTGTTATTAAATGTCCTGTGGCTCTCTCACTCATTGGTAAAATCCACCCCTGTGAACTAACCTGCCCAGTGTGAATGAGGCATGGAGTCATGTCTTCAAACATCCGTTCTTCTGTGTGTTCAGGCTCCCAAAAACATGAAGTCGGTGCTGCAGGCCGGCTGGCTGTGCACTAACGCAGTGGGAAACATCATCGTGCTGATCGTGGCGGAGCTGGGGAAACTTCCCAAACAGGTGCAGTGCTGCACAAAACACACTCAAGCATTGCGGGCCTGTTTACACCTGCTTATATATATAACATCCATGCCTTTAATCTCTGTTTCGTCACACAGTGGGCAGAGTATGTGCTGTTTGCGTCGCTGCTAGTAGCTGTTAGCATCATCTTCTCCATCATGGCGTATTTCTACACCTACATCGACCCAGCGGAGATTGAAGCCGAGATCCTGAAACAGCAAGAGACTGATCCAGACAAGAAGAAGAAGAAGGAGACACTAGAAATGGAGGAAAAGGAGAACGAGCAGGAAATCAAACAAACCAAGATTTAAGACTTGAAGATTGAGTTACGCTCATGCTAATATCTTCCCTTTACTTCCGTATTTATTAAAGCAGGTTTGAAGGACTGTGAGCAGACGTGTGTGTGTTTATGATTGATTTGCATCTGTTGTTGATACATTTAGATGATTATTGATGAGAGCCAATTGAGTCGACAATCATATGTAGCATTAAACATTTAATGTGTAAAATAAACTTTGTTATGGATATGGATTGTGATGTAGATGGACTTTAGTGAGTGTTTTTGTGTGTGTTTTGACTTTTTTAAGCTAATAATCAATGGACTATGATGATACAGGGGTCTGTTTATGGTCTTTAATGTTAAATAATGTTATACGTACACAACAACACTTTGTCAAATAGCCGAGTTTTACTTTTGTTTTTTGTAGTTTTAAGTATCGATGACCGTGTATGTCAAATAAACTGTTTATAAAGTCCCCTTTGGTCATGTAATCTGTACCCAGCAGGCAAACAACATCATAAGACGTTAATTTTAGGTTAGATTTAGGTTGTATTTCGATGTTATATTGTTATTTTGATGTCCAATAATGGTTAAATGACGCTGATATTTGGTTGATTTTAGTTTGCATTGGAAAGTGACCAAAAGTCACGTCAAAATCCAAAGTCGAGCCAACATCTTAAACCAACGTCATGTCAACGTTAAATACTAACATTTATTCGTCAGGTATGGTAACCAAAATTCAATGTCTGATAGTGGTAGCGTCTATACAACGTCAAGCTGTAACATCATTAGATGTTGATATTTGGTTGTTTTTAGGTTGCGTTGGAAAGTGACCAAAATGCAACGTCTGTCCGACGTTGGACACTGAAGTTTTGATGTCAAATCAATTTTCATTTCCACCCAAAATGTAATATCCCATAATGTTGGTGTAAAATGTTAATCTGGCATCATGTTGACGTCCTTTGTCTGCTGGGTTGTCATTGGTGTATTGTTTGTCAAATAAGCTAAATCATAACATGAGTAAACAGCTCAACTGACGTCCATGAGGATCAGGAGACCCAGTATATGCACATGCAGTGCATCTGGAAAGTGTTGATAGCGCTTGACTTTTCCCACATTTGTTTACGTTACAGCCTAATTCCAAAATGGATTAAATTGACTGATTACCTCAACATTCTACACACAATCCCCCATAATGACAATGTGAAACATATCAATGTATATAATATGACATTTAACATATCAATGGAGCGGCTTCACAACAACTCGGTGAACATCCTAGAGTGGCCCAGCCAGAGCCCAGACCTAAATCCTATTGAATGTCTCTGGAGAGATCTGAAAATGGCTGTACACCGTCGCTTCCCATCCAACCTGATAGAGCTTGAGTGGTCCTGCAAAGACAGGTGTGCCAAGCTTGTAACATCACATTCAGAAAGACTTGAGGCTGTGATCGCTGCCAAAGGTGCATCAACAAAGTGTTGAGCAAAAGCTGTGAATACTGATGTACATCTGATTTTACAGCTTTTTATTTTTAATAAATATGCAACAATTTCTAAAACTCTCTTTCACATTGCCAGTGTGTTTGTTTGATTAAACGCCTATATTCTAGCTGTGGGTTGTTTCATGCTAGGTTTCCTCAAGCTAGAATCAAAGTTAGTCTGTAGGGTTTATTGTGCAGCTGCTCTTTGACCGTGTTACTTTAGTGTAGGGCAGATTTACCACCGCCCCGTTACACCCACATGATAACCCGTCCTGATGGACTGACTAACACACGAGTGCAAGCGCACATTCAGGAAGGAGCAGCCATCATGAACACTAAAGGACCACAGGTAGTGTGTGTGTGTGTGTGTGTGTGTGTGTGTGTGTGTGTGTGTGTGTGTGTGTGTGTGTGTGTGTGTGTGTGTGTGTGTGTGTGTGTGTGTGTGTGTGTGTGTGTGTGTGTGTGAGGGTAATATTTGTGAAAGCATTGCATTCTTTCTTCATTGGATTAAAATGAATTACATTGAGTTTTTCCACTGTAAGGATTTGTTTTTCTATATTTTTCCAGATGTTTTTAATTGCTGAGTTGTTTTAACTGGAAAGTTGGATGCAATATTGAAAAATCCAACTGTTTTGTAGACTTGTCAGAATAATTCACAAATCGACTTGTCGTGCCATACTTGGAAATGACCAACAGCTTGTGCTGTGTCAATCTACAATTCCGCTCACGCCTATAGTTATGAGCTTTGGGTCATGACTGAAAGGACAAGATCTCGGATACAAGCGGCTGAAATGAGTTTCCTTCACAGGGTGGCAGGATAGATAGGGTGAGAAGCTCAGAGTAGAGCCGCTTCTCCTCCACATCAAGAGAAGCCAGCTGAAGTGGATCAAGCATCTGTTTTGGATAACTCCAGGACACCTACCTAGGGAGGTGTTCCAGCCATGTCCTACCAGGAGGAGGCCTCGGTTAAGACCCAGGACACGCTGAAGGGACTATCTCTCTCGGCTAGCTTTGGAACATCTCGCAATCTCCCCAAAGGAGCTGGAGGAAGTGTCTGGGGAGAGGGAGGTCTGCGGTTCTCACCTGAGACTGCTCCCCCGCGACCCAGCCCTAGAAAAGCGGATGAAAATTAATGAATGAAGAATCTTTGCTATTGCAAAGCCAATTTACGACACTTACATTCTACCTCACCGGTGTCAAACCTTATAACTGGACATTTACCTACAGGACATTTAATAAAAAAATATATATATTATAAGACATTTACCTCTTTAACATTAAATTATAGCATTTGAATAACCTTAAGAATACCTATTTAAAGTGTTTAAGTCTATTTGCATTATTATGCTGTTATATAATCATCTCAAAATGACTACAATATTGCTTATCGCAACAATTTGTGTGACAATTTATCACACAATAAGCATTTCTTAGCATGACAGGGCTTCTGTTGGGTTTTGTTTAAAAAAAAAAGAGCCGTCATTGAAGTTGTCCACATTTTCCCCAACTTTAGGTTGAAACCACCCACAAGTTTATAGTGTATATATTCAGTCCCAAGTGTTTTCTTCCTAGATCCTCATAACATCTGATGGCCAAAGTGCCATTGTTAGTGGAGAGGCAGTGCCTGTGTTTATCGTCAATGACGTACATTATGAGAGATTAGATTAGCCGTGTATCTGCTCTGATTCAGCACAGTTAGCTTGAACATTTATGGAGTCATAATGTGCGTGTCATTGTCTTGTGCTGAGAGTTCCCTATTGTCAAAACATAAATCAGTCAAGCTTGTGACTTCATTTCAGACTTGGAAATCTTTGAGTTTGAAACTCCATTCGGCTTGTTCGTGTTTTCCGTACCGCCTTTCGGAAAGCAGAACGCACCTGCCATGTTAAAGCATTTCACGGGACTAGACCTGCTAATTTGACATTGAGAATTGTTGTGATTGTTTGAATGAAAGTCCTAAAACTACCAATGATTGAGTGCCACTCTATGCACCTTGCAAGTAGATCTTCAATACTTCTAGTGATTCACTGTTCTGCAGAGCTCCTATCTTAATCAAACATATAACCTAAATATTTAAGCCCGTCAGAATCACTTGAAAGTCATTGGCAGATGGGTTTTAAGAGGTTGGAAATTAACTTTGCAAGACAGTGGAGCTTTAAGGAAAGGGCTGAAGACTATGCCAGAATGTTTTGGTCTGTACAACATGGGCAAAAGTCAGAGAGAGTCATTATTGTCATTGTCCTGTGTTGAGAGTTCTGTATTGACAAAGGCTTTATAAATGTTAAACTCCGTTTGGCTTGTTTGAGTTACCCGCACTGCCTTTTGGAAAGCAGAACGCACCTGCCATCTGCATTAATTGAACATATATGACCCAAATATTCAAGCCCTTCAAAATCACAATTAGGACATTAGGACAGAGGGACTTCATTGACAGGGTTGAACTCTGTTTGACTCTGCCAGAACTTTACAATATGAGCAAAAATCAGACAGAAAAGATCCTTCTTCAGGTATACTGCTGGTCATTATTGTGAGGGAGTTGAAAATTTGATGCACTATGTTTCTATATGTAGTGTATGTCAGACTTTTATCGGCAAAAAGATGAGATGCATATATAGTAGAGCAGGAATTATGGCAGAATGGGGAAGGATTATCAAACATCAGTTTTCTCTAAATTTTGCAATGGTACTATAATAAAAATAAAAAGTTTTGTGGTAAACATAACGCAATGACACTTGAACACTACAATATAACATAAACTACACAAGCTTGCACCCAAACATACTTAACTAGCTACTCCTTAAATCACACATTTTCTAAAATACATATACCTACACTCTCAAAAATAAAGGCACGAGAGCTGTCACTGGGGTGGTACCTTTTTAAAAGGTACATATTTGTGCCTAAAAGGTCCATATTATACCTCAAGGGTTCAAATTATTACATTAAAAGTACAAAAGTGTACCTCTTAAAATGTTTAGGTATTAATATATACTTTTGAGGTACCAATATGCACTCTTTAAGCACACATGTGTACCATTTGAAAAGGTACCACCCCAGTGACAGCTCTCGTACCTTTATTTCTGAGAGTGTACAATATCCAAAAGGTTTAAGTATTGTCAAGTTATGTTTACCACAGTAACACACTGTATAATCCCTAAAGTAAAATCTCAAAGGAAACCCATTATAAATTCTTTCTGTCTGGTTTTGATGTCGTCCTTGCACTATTCAATTACCCGATTTGTGATCTTCCTTTACCAGCAGATTGACGTCCTTTCTGATTACACAAGTAATTTTTAAGGAATAATATATCCCACTTCTTTTCTTTTGTAGAATTTGAAGTTGGACCCGGAGAAGCTGTTCACAAAGCTTGAGCGGATCGGGAAGGGATCTTTTGGAGAGGTTTTCAAAGGCATTGACAATCGCACACAAAAGGTGGTCGCTATTAAGATCATTGACCTGGAAGAGGCTGAAGATGAGGTGGAGGACATCCAACAGGAGATCACAGTCCTGAGCCAGTGCGACAGCCTCTTCATCACCAAATACTTTGGCTCTTACCTGAAGGTGAGACCTGTGTGCTGGAAGGCTGGAGTAGTTTCAGTTGTCTGTTTCATGTGTCCAAGCCCTGCTTCATCAGACCGAACCACACGCAGCTGACGTCAACGCAGTCAGTTTTTGTCACCAATAGTTCTTTGACATTCACTTGGTGTCTGCCGGGCTTAGGATGTCATGATCTGTGATGTTATGGGAGCATGCAGTTGATCCCATCATTCATCCAATTGCATATGCACATTACATTTTCCGTGTCTATATAATGAAGAAAATTGTATTTTACTATATGCAAATACGAGTTTACTTTCTGATGATACTAATGTTAAGTTAACTCCGTCTTCACCCCATGTGGCATTCAGCCAGTGTTTGAGTTGCACAGTTGCTCCTTCTATCACCGCTTCACACTTTGAGCAGGAACATTTCCCCATTAGACAAACGGCCCCACAGAAAGTTGGCTGGAGATTGGGAGAGAGTTGTTTCCAGTTTTCCTGAATCCCGTTTTGTGATCTAATATCATTCACAGCTAATAGGAACATCTGGATGGATGAATGGCGCTACATAAAAAGCATGTAATTTAGCGCTGGGATTTGCGCATGTTCTTGGAAAACCTGGAGGGACAACATCCTGCAAATTTGAGCTCTGACTTACTTCAATACACATGTCATGAGGTTAATAGTTTACCTAATAAGAGCTTGATTAGCTGGTTCAGGGTTTGGTTGCAGCTAAATTCTGCAGGACACCAGACCTCAACGACAAGAAACCCCTGTTTGAGAGAGAATGTTTTAGAAATCAATGTTGCTTATCATACAAAAATACAAGAATGAGCTGTGGAAACCCCGTCCAAAGTGGAGCTTATGTTGTTATGTTTTTTGCAGGACACAAAACTATGGATCATCATGGAATATTTAGGAGGGGGCTCAGCTCTGGATTTGGTAAGATTTTCCCAAACTTTACTATCAAGGGTTCATGAAGTCTGTTTCTTGTTGTGATAAACCAATTACAAGTTGAAGATGTGTTATTAAAAACAACCAATTATCATAAACATGATTGTTAAACATGCTTAATTTAGCTCTTGTAGTTTCTAAAGTGTTAGGATGATACTGAATTGGGTTCTTCACAACAGATGTCTAAAGCACTCATTTGGACCTTAGATTTCAGCTGACAAAGACCCCAATCTAAATCAGTGATCCTCAAGACTGCATGACGACCATCCATAACAGGAGTTGCCAAGGTCTATCCTTGAGGGCTGGTGTCAGACCAGGGTTTAGCTCCAAATTCCCCCAATATACCTTGAAATACAAGTTTCAAGTAGTTAGACCTTGATTAGCTTGTTCAAGTGTGTTTGATTAGAGTTGGAGCTAAACTCTTCAGGACACTGGACCTCCAGTACTGAGTTTGCTCATCCCTTCTCTAAAGTGTTAGAATAATACTGTCCAAAATTGGTACTGATCTGGGTTCTTCACAATAGATTTGTAAAACACTTATTTAGACTTTAATTTCAGCTGGCAAAGTCCCTAATCTAAATCAGTGTTTCTCAAGGCTGCCTGCTGACCATCCATAAGCAGGGCAACCAAGCTCGATTCTGGAGGGCCTGTGTCAGACCAGAGTTTAGTTCCAGGTTCTCTCAACACACCTGCCTGGAAGTTTCAAGTATATCTATTAAGATCTAAGTTTGTTTACATTTGCATCCAGGAATACATTTGGTGACCCCTGCTGCACAACATTTGTTTATGTATCTCTTATCTAACACCTGATTCAACTCATCAGCTAATTTTAAGAGATGGCAAGACCTGAAATAGTTGTGTCTAATAAAGAAGATATTCAAAATGTAAAGTTGTAAAAGCAATCCCCAGGCTAGGAGGCAGAAGCTCTGGTCTAAAATGCTCATTTTTAGTTTTAGGACTTATGTTTCTATTTTAGGCAGATATTACATCTAATACAGGTGACATGCTGATGAAGTGAACTTGTTCAAAGCAAAATAACAGGGGTGGCTAACCTTGCTCCTAGAGCAGCATTCCTCAAACTTTGCCCTTGAGGGTCAATGGTGCTGTAAAGTTTAGCTTCAACTTAAATAAAAGCCACCTACCTGTGAATGTCTAATGATCCCGAAGACAGTGGTTAGCAGGTTCAGGTGTGTCTAATTAGGGTTAGAGCTAAAATCTGAGGTTAAGTGGATCTAATGCAGGCAAGGGCAACTTAGGTCCTGGAGGGATTAGCTCCAACCCTAATCAAACGCACCTGCCAGAAGCTATTTGCCAGCAGATGTTGAACACACTGATTAGCTTGTTCAGGTGTGTTTGATTAGTGTTAGAGCAAAACTCTGCAGGACACTAACCTTCCAGGACCAAAGTTGCCCATCCCTGATCTAGTGTCCTAGAGTACCTCTTTTCTGCAGATTTAATTCAACCCTGCTCCAACACACCTGCCTATATTATTAACAATCTGATTAGCCCCTTCTGGTATTTTAATTTGGTTTGAATCTAAACTCTGCTTCAGGAGCAGAGTTGGCTATGCCTAGAAATCAGTAGGATTTGCCTAGGGCAGGGGTGGCCAGTCCAGTTCCTGGGATCTACCTTACTAGAGAATTCAGCTCCATCCCTGATCAATTAAAACTAAAACTAAGTCAGATCTGAAGGAACACTTGCTAATTAGAGAAGGGTGTGTTTGATTAAGGTTGCAGCTGAAATCTGCAGGAAGTTAGATTTCTAGGAATAGGAAAGGCACTCCTGGCCTAGGGTGTTTAGGTGTGTTTGTCCAGAGGTTTAGGATTGGGATCCTACACATTTAAGGAGATTCTCTAACAGATCTAACATGTTTCTTGATCTACAGCTGGGACCTGGGGCCCTTGATGAGACCCACATTGCCACCATCCTCCGAGAGATCCTGAAGGGTCTGGATTACCTACACTCTGAGAAGAAAATTCACAGAGATATTAAAGGTATTTGTGACATGACGTGGTATCTGCACATTTCAACTGGATTTAAAATGATCTCCAGCTGTTCAAGGAAACAGTTTCCTGTTCTGAAAGACCAAATCAACACAGCTGGTGTGTGTTTGTGTTTTTCTCTAGCTGCTAATGTCCTGTTGTCAGAGCAGGGTGATGTAAAGCTAGCAGATTTTGGTGTGGCTGGGCAACTCACAGACACACAGATCAAGAGGAACACATTTGTGGGCACACCATTCTGGATGGCACCAGAAGTCATTAAACAGTCAGAGTACGACTCAAAGGTCAGATTTGCTCATCGTGTTATGTCTGTAACGAAATTGTAATCACAGCCTGGCTTGGTTTAGCATGTAGACAAGGAGTAGGCAACTCTTCCTCTGGGATGCTACCTTACTGGAGACTTCAGTTCTAGTTCTGCTCTGACACACATCTCTGGTATTCTTTAGCAATCACATCACCTTGATTATTCAGTTCAGGTGTGTATGGACTTATAGCTAAAAGCTAAATTGCAAAAGGGTAGTCCTCGAGGAATATAACACCTCACTCCCATCCAGAGTTTTTATCCATATGTGATTTGTAAATCATCCGACCTTGATAAAAGCAATGACTTATGTTCACAACTTTTGGGTCATCAGAAAGAACCACTGGGTCATGTTCTGAGGTGTTTGTGTGTTTTGCAGGCAGATATCTGGTCATTGGGAATAACTGCAATCGAGCTGGCTAAAGGAGAGCCGCCCCACTCTGATCTTCACCCCATGAAGGTGTTATTTCTCATCCCCAAGGAAAATCCTCCCACACTGGAGGGAAACTACAACAAAGCTCTTAAGGAGTTTGTAGATGCCTGTCTCAATAAAGACCCCAACTTTGTAAGTGTTGCCTAACTATTTAACAAAGGGAAGTCCAATCCCACTTCTTGAGGTCTACTTTCCTGAGAGTGCTCCAACACACTTGCCTTGAGGTTTCCAGGGATTCTCTTGTTTAGATGTGTTTAATTAGGCTTGAACTCAACTCTGCTGGAAAGAGGACCCTAGAAGCCAGACTGGACATCTCTTGATTTATCAGAGTCGAGTTCAAGCCAAATTAAACACATCTAAACAGGCAAATCCATGGAAACCTCCAGGCAAGTCTCTTAGAGTAAGTCATAGCTACTATTTACAGGAAAGTAGCCCTCAAGAAGTAGGATTGGACACCCTTGGAAAAAGAACCCAAGAACTAAGACTGGACACCTCTTGATATAGCAGAGTTACTCAAATGTAACCCTGAAGGGTTATTGGATCAAAAAGTTTAGCTCAAATCATGGTCACAACTACATGTATTGTTCCTAAACTCCTACTTTATTTAGCTTGCACACGTCTTTGATTGGGGCTAGAACTAAACTGAGCTTTGCACAAAGATGATTGGATTTGAAGAAGTAGACCATTTAGCAGATGCATATTAGTGTCAACCCATCAAGTCACGGACTCTACAAGATCTCTATAAAGGTGTCCTGTTATATCTGGCACCAAGATATTAGCCACAGGTCCTTCAAATGATGTAGACTGCTAGGTGGAGTGGCTGTAGATTGAACCGATCACAGACGATCGGTTAGATTGAGATCTGGGGAACTTGGGACTCTTTAAGGCACAGGTGTCAAACTCTTTTTGGAGTTTCTGGAGGGCTTCTTGTTTCTTGGAACTAAACTGTGCAGGGTAGTGGCCCTCCAGAAACTTTTGGCAGCCCTGCTTTAAGGCCAGGTCCATGCCTGTACTCAGGTATATTTTAATAAATTTTTCCTGTCTTCATTTAAATATAAATAAATAAAAAAGCACAATAACATATAGTGATGCAAGGTCAAGGGTATGAGGAATCACCAGGCAGCGATAAAAGCCTTATGCTATTATGCGGAATTGAGTAAGTTACACACAAAGTCAATGGGAATGCACAAACAAAGTGTGCTAAAGCAGGATCGAGGACCTCTAATATATAATCATTTGATTTATACATGAATAGCAACAATGTTCAATGTTCTGTTTAGCTCCAGCCATGATCAAAACCACTTGATTGTCATTTTCAAGTAATCCTGACGCACCATTCACACGGGGCTTCAGCGTCAACGCTTGACTGAAGGCGTGTCTGAAGCGAACGTCATAGCAGCTTCAGCCAATGAAATTCAGTCAGCAATAGACCACTGTCTAGCTGGTGTATTTGCATACAGCGATCTGATTGGCTGACGCTTCCATCGGCGCTTGAAAAGTTGAGCTAGTCCCAACTTCTGCAGCGAGCAACGCCTCTGAAGCGGCGCCGACGGATCCACAATGCAGTTCGGCAACGCCTGACGTCACCCATTCAAAGTGAATGGAAAGCGTTGACGATGATGCCCCGTGTGAATGGGGCGTAAAGAACTTCCTAGCACTAATATACAGTCATCTACAATGAAATGACATCATGTTTTTGTTGTTTCTGTCAGAGGCCAACAGCTAAAGAGCTTTTGAAACACAAACTTATCGTTCGATATTCCAAGAAGACCTCATACCTGATGGATCTCATTGACAAGTACAAGAAATGGAAACTGAAACAGGCCCGAGATGAGTCCAGCTCTGATTCCGACTCGTAAGCATAAAACTAAAATCACCTAAGATACAGACATATTAGAATAAAGTACTGAGAAATGTTGCATGTACATGTTCTCAGAGATGAAGAAGAAGCATCTGGAGAGTCTGTGAATGATGACTGGATCTTTAACACCATCACAGAAAGTAAACCCATCCAGGAACCCAATAGAGTCTTGAAGCCTGTAGAAAACAAACCGAAAAAGGTGAGGAATGGGGTCTACCTGTGTCAATGCATTGAATATAAAGGATAAAAGCTGGAGCCTGGAATAGTTTTATTTATGCACTAAAAATGATCTTAGAAGTCACCTTTAAAGAGATTGTGCATGAATGTTAATGAACACAAAGAGGTCTGATGCATTTTGGCATAGATAGTAGTATTGTGGAAGTGATACACTTTGTATAAATACATCCGTCTGTCTTTGGTTGTTTAGGTTCCAGACAGGCCGAAGCATTCTCCGTCCCAGAGCATGTCCTCTATTATGTCCCCGTTGTTTGCAGAGGTAAGTGTTTGATTCCAACTCTCCATCCAAAGATGTGAATTAAACTTAAACCGGAATATTGCATAAAACATTAGTGAATAAATCCATCCAATGATGGAAGTCATCACTTCCTGATAAACTGGAGCAAATATCAGACGGAGAAATGTAGTTTAGTGCGGTAGGAGAAGCTACGAGTCATGTTTCCATTCAAAGATGTGAATTAAATTTATGCGCAAAACTGGAAAATAGCATAAAACATTTGCGAATGAACCATCATTTCCATTCAAGTGCAAGAAAAAAAAACATCTTCCTGATAAACTGGTGCCAAATATCAAAAAAAAAATTGGAAGTTGCTGCGTTATGAGAAGGTCTTTTTTCATATACAATAACTTACTTGTGTCTCAGAACTAGCCGAAACGCAATGTGCACAGTCATGTAATCTTGCATTTGAAGCCAGGAAATCCTCTCCGCTCGTGCTTCTTGGAAGATTTGCGCTTTGGTAAAGTCTAGATAGGATTCACGGCCGGCCGGAAGTGTGATATGCACATTAATATAGCAGTCTATTTTATGACACTGTATGACAATAATGAATATTTTTACAGTACTGTGACGGTTGGGTTCAGAGTTGGGGTGGGCGCAGTCATTAGAAAATACAATCCATTGGGTAATTTAACAGATAGCATTAATAATACTCGGTACAACTACTGTTTTTATGTTACTGTGATGGTTGGGTTTAGTGTTAGGGTAGACGTTAATAAAATACAATGAATGGGAAATGTAATAAATAATATAAATAATTCTCGTTAATTTCCAGGCCGCAACCATATCCGATCTACCAACAACCTTACACTTTCTGTTAATGTTTTCCATCAAGGATGGTTGCCACTTCTTTCTCTTATATAACATCTAAAAATGTTCGGACCTCATCGTCCACACAAACATACCTGTGACTTTTGTTATCACATGATCTGTTGAAGCAAAATCTATTTATTCGTTGAATGTGTCTCTGTCGTAGTTTATGCACATTTTTCTTATCAGATATAAAGTTTATTCAACTAGTTCAGATAATTTTTTTAATGCACATTTTTTTAAAAGTATGCACATTTTGGCATTTCCATCCAGTTTTTAATGCAGTATCCCAAAATGTGCATTAAAATAGGAATAACGCAGCCACTGTGGTGTCTTTCCTCTCTAATGTATGAGCTGCGCCTCAGAAAATGAAGACGAAACGCAAAGAACACGGTGAATGCGGTGGCTTTTGGAGACGTGGGAGCAGACTGATGCTCAAGACAGTTCTGGAGGGAATAATAATAATACTGAAGCGCTGTGGTGACGGACTGACAGAGGCCTGAGGCCTTTTACAATCAGCAGTCAGCTTTTTTGATGCTGGAATTTAATCTGTGAATGTGTTTCCATTGTTCATTCATTCATTTTCTTGTTGGCTTAGTCCCTTTATTAATCCGGGGTCGCCACAGCGGAATGAACCGCCAACTCATCCAGCAAGTTTTTACGCAGCAGATGCCCTTCCAGCCGCAACCCATCTCTGGGAAACATCCACACACATTCACACACACACTCATACACTACGGACAATTTAGCCTTCCCAATTCACCTGTACTGCATGTCTTTGAACTGTGGGGGAAACCGGAGCAGGGTGGGAGAACATGCAAACTCCACACAGAAAGGCCAACTGAGCCGAGGTTTTAACCAGCGACCTTCTTGCTGTGAGGCGACAGCACTACCTGCTGCGCCACTGCTTCACCATGTTTCCATTGTAGTTTATGCAATTGTTTTCTTATCGGATTAAACATTTGCCTCATATGTGCATCTTGGCATTTCCACTTAACTTTTTGAGGCTGTAGTAGGTTACACAAAACATTTGCAGTTTTACTGCAGTCAGACTGACATTTGACCTCTTCAAACATTATGATGCATGTGTGTGTTGTTCTGTCAGCTGAAGCAGAAGCGGGGTGTTTATAAGCCGGGGGTGTTGGACGAACTGAAGCAGGCCATGCTGCTGGCTGAAGAGACATGTCCCGGGATCACAGACTCTATGGTGACAGGGGTGATTCAGAGATTAAAGAGGTATACCGACAAAACCCAGGCTGAACTGTAGAAAACACACACACTTTCATTTCTCTGACACGGCACCAGACACATTCTTACAAAAAAAACACATGCATTTATGAAGTGTGCCTCACACAGATGAGTGGGCTTAACAAACCACCCGTAGAAACACTTTTTACATTCCTCTCAAAAAAAAAAAAAAAACTAAAACATTCCTTTAGTCTAGATGCCCAAAGAAGAACCCGAGGGCCAAAGTTGGCCCATGGTAACCTTTGGTTTGGCCCACCGTCCCATCTGAAAAGAGAGGTGGCGATGATGGAGTTGGTTGGGGCGAATGTCTTAGACAGAGATCGTCATTTCCAATTTAATGTATACCCTTTTGCTTTTTTGTTTAATGGAGGAGCTACAAAAAAGCCAACTAAAATGAAATGTTTCATTTGAATCAGACTTTTAAAATGTAAATACTGTCACTCGACAGATGCACAAGACATCGGTGAGCAAATCAAGGCAAAGGCAGGCGCAGCTCGACTAGTGTAATCAGTATAGAGCTCCATTGAGGTGTAAATGCGATTGTTTATGTTTTTACTATAATAAGATGATTATAAAACGTTAACCATTTTGAAGCAATGTTTTTTGTTTTATTTTTAAATAATAAGCAAACAAATGAGCAAATTTAATGCAATGCGGTTTGATATTTTCAACTTTGAGCCCCACAGCCCTCAATCAAGTTTGGGTTTTGGCCCTTTATAAAAGGTTTGGGCAGCCCTGGTCTAGCATTGAGTTCTCTGAGCACTAACAGTTGGCTTGTACAATTACAGGGTTTCTACCGTTTTCATAATTCCATCAAATTTAAGACTTTTTAAGACCATTATGAATGAAATTTCAGACTTTTTATACAAATTATACACTCAAAAAATGATGTTTGCTGTTTGTTTAATCGACTTATCTAAAATGAGCTGAAACAACACAATTCTTGAGGGTTTTTTGGGACAACTTCATTGTTTTATGTTCAATCTACTTAAATTTGTAAAAACTAATAAGTTAATTGAATTCCTCCAGTTTGTTCCAGCACAAATTAATTGTGTGTAACCCAGCATTTTTTTAGTGTAGGAGTAAATGGTAAGGAGTTTTATTTTTTAAGACCTGGTTGGGTCAATGGAAAAGATTTTTCTTTTCAATAAAAAAAAAATCCAATTTAGTTATTTTTATGCACATATTTAAAATAATGTGTCAATATGTAAGATTTTTTTTATCAGCATAAAGTTTCTTTTGTTTTTAATTAGTCTAGTTATAAAAAGAGAAATACATTAAGAACCTTTAAACATTTTTTTGTAGGGAAGATGATTAAACCTTATCAAACACCCGGCGCAATAATGAGCAAGACATGTTTAGTGTGATTTGTTGTTGTTTTTCAGACCAGCGCAGCTGTAATTTTCACATTTTGCGCCACTTTGTAAAGGAGGTGTGTTAAGGCGCACTGTTGGCGCTTTGCTATTCTGAGGAACTGAAATAGACATCATTCATGACAATCTGCATCTGTATATCATCATTATTAGCAGTATTATCGATTATATGCATATTTATATCTGTTTTAAACAACACAAGTGTAGATTTATCCACCTGTGGGGTTTTGGAGACGTCTGCATCACCATAAGGGACGTAAGAACAGGACGTATGTTTGGATATAACTCAGTTTTCTGACCACACTTCATTATTATTGTTCGTTTATTCTTTTGCTGGAGATTAGAACTGAATTTATAAATAGTTTTGCAACAATCTTTGCGCTTAACAAAGGAAATTAAATATGTGGGCTAATGGATGTGTTCAGTGGAGGGAGTTTCCACCGTTTCCTCACTCCACCAGAGTAAAGAGTAAAAGTAAAGTGGCTGAATGGAGGAGGCTTGTTCTTTATCCTCGCGCTGCAGATGCTCTGTTTAACTGTTTTCTCAATAGTGTTCAGTTTTTACACTTACAAGGTTCACCATGTAAATAGCAAATGCACCATGTAGTGATGCAACTGACTCTTAAAGGGAATAAGAGACGAGACTCTGATTGGTTTAATGCATGTTATGCTCAAAACACACCCAGAACTCATTAATAAGCACAGCCCTGTTAGACCATGCGCCGGGCGCAGATCGTATTTCCCATCAATAAAACGCTCTTAATGCTTTTGCACCATGAGCTTTAGACTTTGCGCCTAGATCATTAAAATTGAGCCCCATACAGTTTTTTTGTTAAACATTTTATTGAGATGGATTGTGGCTGGCCTGATTAGATAGATTTACACGGACAAAGGAAAATTAAGACCTGTTTAAAGTGATTTAAGACCTACAACACAATATTTCAGTCAATTTAAGACTTTTTAAGGCCTAAAATGTAGTTTTTGAAATGTATGATTTTTTAAGACACTCTGAAATAGCACTTCTTGTATGTATTGCCTCCATGTTGATTTGCTGAATGTCTCCTCAGTTGTAATTAGCTTTGGGAAAAAGCATCTGCTAAATGACTACATGTAAATGTAAATGAACTGCCCGTGTGTGCGCTGGCCTGAGTCTGATGTGTGTTTTCTGCCTGACAGGTTTTCCTCTCATCACTGACTCTACCTGAAGACTCTTTCTCTGTGAGTGTGTGTGTGTGCGTGTGTGATATCTGAAAGGCTGAATGCTGAGATGTAGCATAGTGTGTTTTTATTATGGTGGAGTTTTGATTTTACAATCTCAGGTAGTTGCTTTGTGTGTACATAGCTTATGAATGTGGACTGGAGATTGCACAACAATCATATGAAATGATTTGACAACTTAAGTATCATTGTCTGTGTTTACTTTTTTTACTGTAGAGTTTAGAGCATGTACTCCCTTAACAAATAGAGTTTAATAATATTTTGCTGGTAATCTTAATGAACGTTGAAGCCTAAACACCAATATAAATAAAAGCCTCATCATTAAAGGACAAACCTACTTAAAAGGCTAATTTCACAACTCACCTAGAGTTTTGTGTGCCGATCTCCAGGTCTGGTCAAAGCACTTTTAGCTTAGCTTAGCATAAACCATTGAATCAGATTAGACCATTAGCGACTCATTTAAAAGGAGTTTTGATATTATTCCTATTTAAAGCTTGACTCTTCTCGAGTTAAATCATGTACTAAGTCCAACGAAAAATCAAAACTTGTTATTTTCTAGGCTGATATGTCTAGGAACACTACTCTCATTTTGGCAAAACAATCAAGAAACTTTTCTGCCGTGTCATGGCTGCAGCAAAATGAACTGATATGACATTGCAACAGTTTCTAGCCATTTTTATTGTGTGTTGGTCTCTGTGCACAGTGTAACTCCAGAAGAGTCAAGCTTTAAATAGGATTATTACCAAAACTTGTTTTTGAGCAAGATGCTAACGGTCTAACCTGATTCAATAATCTATGCTAAGCTAAGCTAAGCTCCCACCAGACCTGGAGATCAGCTGGATGGATTACAAAATGCTAAAAAAATCAAATGTTTAACTCTAGGAAAGCTGTAAAACGAGCTTTTTCCACAAAAAGTGGAGTTTATTTTCCTTTAAGCTTCTGACAAATCTTTTGAAAAACACTGCTACTAGGAACTTGAATAGGAGTGATTTGCTGTAAATGAATGCACATGACTCGGCATCCTCATTAAAGGAAAAACACTTTAAAAAGGCTAATTTTACACCAAGAGGTAAACAGTTGATTTCTGTCATTGTTTATTTTTTGTTTCTGATGATTTCCAGGCTTGTTGGGAACAGGTTTAGCTTAGCTTAGCTTCAATCATTGAATCAGATTAGACCATTAGCATCTTATTCAAAAAAAATAATAATTTTGATAATATTCCTATTTAAAGCTTGACCCTTCTGTAGTTACATCACGTTATAAAATCAATAAATCAAAATCAAAAGTAGCTATTTCCTAGGTGGATATGGCTAGGAACTCTACTTTCATTCTGGCAAAGTAATCAAGAGACTCTGCTGTCATGTCATGGCTACCGCAAATGAACTGATATGACATTGCAATAGTTTCTAGCCACTTTTCATTTGGTGTTGGTCTCTGTGCACAATGTAACTCCAGAAGAGTCAAGCTTTAAATGGGATTATTATGAAAACTCATTTTTGAGCAAGATGCTAATGGTCTAACCTGATTCAATGATCTATGCTAAGCTAAGCTAAAAGTGCTCGCACTAGACCTGGAGATCAACTGGATGGATTACAAAATGCTAAAAATCAACTGTTTATCTGCGGAAAGCTGTAAAATAAGCTTATTTCCACAAAATGTGGAGTTTTCCTTCTGACAAACACTGCTACAAGAAATACTTGAATAGGAGTGATTTGCTGTAAAAGAAAACCCTGTATAACATGCACAATGAAAGTGTTTTAAAATAAAAGCATTTTAAAGAGCTTTGAATGGTTAAATTACTCTACAGAAACTCATTAGATGATTCATTCAGTTTTGCTTTATCTGCAGTGGTTATGATTACAGCTCTTCTGATGCCCCTGATTGTTATGCAAGAGATACGCTACAATAAATCTGTGCTAAAGTTCACCTCTGAACGTTTTCAGGATCGGCTAAACCAGTGACTAAACCCACAGCGAGCGAGCAAATTCACACAATTTTAATTCTTACATCCAAAAAAAAAAAAAAAACAAGATCAAAATTTCTCACTCTATATACAGATATTACATACGATGTTTATACACATATTACATCATATTTTTACACGAGAAAAATATACATAAAAATGTAAACTTTGTATACAAAAAAATACCTTAGACAAATTAAAGACCGATAACAAAAGGTGACTAGATTATCCTATGAGTTGTAAAAACAGTTCTACAGTACATTCAGTGAGTACAGGAATCAGTCAGCCATCTGAACGCAGTGCAAGCGCTTCTGTCAGGGGGGGGGGGGGTTCTTTTCTCTGTGCAGCGGACTGCCTGGCCTTCACACAGCACACAGTAGTAACACAGTACAAAAAAAACATGGACCGCACACAACATTTCAGCTGATGAACAACGGTGGGAGAAGTAACCAACGACGGCTCCTGTTCGGAAATATCAGGAGAAGAGGAGAACGTGCAGCAGCTTTAAAGGTGATGACCACAAAAATGACTTTCACTTCATTGAGAATGCTTCAAAACCTGAAGTAATGGCCTGTAGACATGATCCAGATCTCAATCACGAAACCCCAGCAGAAAGTCTTTTATTTATTAAAAAAATGAAAGTGTTCTGTTAATGTTGACGATTATTTATTTTTGAGAATACGTTCACCACTGGGATGATGTAAAAATATATACTGCTTTTAAGGTTTCTCTTTAAATGCAAATGAGCTGCTGTTCTCCGCCCCCTTTTCAAAAGAGGGCAGAGCCTTTTTAGCTTGCACCTCAATTTAAGACACGTTTACACAAAGTACGATAACTATAAAGTTAACGATAAAAACATCAACTAGCAGAGTTCAGATCACTATTATAACGATAACGATGCAGAAAAACGATAATGTTGGGATTACTTTCAGAACGATTTTTTTCCCCAGCTAATACATGGTAAAAAGAAAAAAACGGCCTGATCCCACGAGGAAACATAACCATTTTACATTTTACAAACCCCACCCCTAAACCTAATCGTCAATGGGGGATAAGCAAATCAAAATAATTAGTACGAATGAGATCCTACAAATTCATACGAATAAGCCAGTAAATCAAAGTTACGAATTGCCGTTAAGATATCGATAAAACATCCATAAGTTAATGTACTAACATGAGCTAATACTGGCGTAGCATTTATTAATCAAACTTCCACATTTATCCAGCTTAATCTCAACATATCTATTTTACGTTTTGCTAGTTTAGTGGCTAATTCGTTCAAATTTTGTTGTTTACTGTATTCCTTACTGTTTTAATGTGCTTTGTTGTTTTTTACTGTTTTGTAAGCGCTTCGGGTCTAAGAAAAGCATGTTATAAAAATGTATTATTATTATTTATATAATTCGAGTTCAGTTGTACGATTTTTAAAAGTAGGCGTGGCACCCCACGTCTAAACCCAACCGTCAATGGGGGATAAGCAAATCGCACTAATTTGTACGAATGAGATCATACAAATTGACATCTAAACTAAAAAAAGTTATGAATTACCATGAGATAGCGTTTACAAAAAACTTTCAGTCTGAAAACACTGAAATATAAAAGGCTCAGACTTAGTGGAGCATCTGTATTTGATGATCTTTTCAAAGATTATTTAAAGATAATGACTATCTAATAAACAATTGGTTATTGACATTATTCTTCACGTATGAGCAGGCGCAGCCATCGGAATCTATTCGGCTTCTAGTCTACTTCACTTCGTAAAGTAAATCGTTAGACAATTTTCTGCCGTATTATTACTAGTCATTTTTCCCTTAGGTTACGCAGTTTTAAAACAATTGTAAAAAAAACGCACTTGCGCATTGCAAAATAAGGTTAATAGCACTGGAGGGAATTATCAATATTGACACGGAAGCTATGCAATTTATGCAAATTGATGTATAAAATTAAAAGTACCTCAGGTATTAAGTATAGCTATGCACTGACTGCGATTGCAGCATTCACTGTTTAATTAGATCATTTACACGAGCGGGATTCACTGGTCAGATTCACTAGAACCAAAGCACATCAATGAAAATAAAAAATAAAACAAAAAAACAAAAATAAATTGATTGTTATGGTCTGATGAACAAATCGTACTAATTTGTATGAATGAGATTGTACAAATTCAGACGAATTACCCATTAAATTAAAAAGTTACGAATTGCCGTAAGATATTGTTTTAAAAAAATAGACAGTCAGAAACCATCGCAATATAAAGGGCTACAGGTTGCGACTTCGTGGAGCATCTTTGTCTGATGTTAAAAGATCTTTTAAAGATCATTTAAAGACAATGACCATCTAGTAAACAATTGGTTTAGTGAACCTTACTCTTCCCGTATGAGCAGGCGCAGCCATCGGAATCTATTTTGCCTCACTTCCATTGATTGTTAGACGTTAAAACAGCTCGTTATGCTGCTTGATGTTCAACTTTTATTATTATATTCTATTTTTATGTATAGTCATATACACACTTAATGTATTGGCATCAAGTCGTCAACCATTTCTGCCTTCTAATATTCCTAGTTATTTCTCCCATAGGTAAATCGTAAAAACGAGTGCACTTCCGCATTGCAGAATAAGGTTAATAGCATGGAAGGGAATAAAAATATTGACATGGAAGCTACGCAATTTATGTAAATTGATGTATAAAATTAAAAGTATAGCTATTTGCTGACTGCGATCGCAACATTCACTGTTTGATTAAACCAATTACACGAGCGGGATTCACTGGTCAGTTTCACTAGAAATGAAGCACATCAATAGAAAAAAAAAGAATAAACAAGAAAAAATAGATCGTTATGGTCTGCTGGTGAGGACCAAATATAGTTACCGCTATAATTATTATATTGATCATTCTTTGTGCGAACATCGCTTTACTTTGATTACAACATCGGTAGGCATTATAAAGCATAAACATTTCAAAGTGCATGGATAAGAGAACCCCTTTAAACTAATTCAAAGTCACAATTTATTCGTTTTACAAATTAAAGTGCATCAACGACCACAGTTTTATGAACTTCCATTCGATGCAGCCGGTTCGTGGATGTAGCAGTAAACAAAATTTAATTCTCCTGGGCTTTCATGACTGAGATCCGTTGTTTAACTATTATTTAGACTAGCGTGATCAGACTAAGTGTGCATAAGGGTCATGATTTGAAGTCCTTCGACGGCCACTGACTCTTTTTAATAGCTATCAAAAATACTGTTGCACACGATCACAGTCTCTTCGTCTGAATAAATGACACAGATACACAACATCAAACCAATAAAAATGAGTCGTCATCACGATCGTTTTGATAGCCATTAAAACTACCAAACAGCACGCCACGAAACGCTTCAGTTCCACCACGCATGTTAGCTTCGCAAACATCTTTCGCCACTCAATTCAACCCATAAAAACCCCATGCTACAGAGTTCTCTATTCTATAAATAGATTTAATACTCGACAATATACGAGATAATCGTTCAGCGTCTAATAATATCTACCGAAAACAACCTTGGTTTTATGGTCATAACATAATGAGATCTGTGAGGGAACGTTGGTCCCGCGTGGCGTAAGGCTGACTGACGGTGGCTAAAAAAAACAAATGGCTGAGTTTGAACCTGACACTCCTGTGGAAGTCTGGAGAAGAACCATCAGGTTGCACGAACCGTTCTCCAAAGAAATTGCACCAAATATCTGAAACGCAGGGTTCTACTCTAAACCCTCCATCTGTACTCTCGCCGCCAAGGGCTCTTGCATTATAAAGACCCCAAACTGATTAAGCACCATGAAGAACAAACATCATAACCCATGTATTTGGCAGAGAGTGTTGCTATTGTTCTGTGTTGCTCTTCGCTGAATGAGTTCCATGTCAGTGTTGATTCAATCTTTGCTGTCAATCAAACAGTTGAGCTGTGAATTAAAAGTAGAGGATGCTGGGATTGAGCCACACCTGAAGACTGGCATGGGTTGCTCTGCTGGGGGTATTATTGCTTTAGTTAACCTTATGACATGAGCAGTCCAGGCTGGGTACACGGAGCAACAAATAAACCCATGAATGATTGGTGTGCTTCTGTAATACAACATTTGTGTCCTAATTACAAGCCGAACTATGGATTCACACATAAACTGAGGGCTGTGCTGGAGATGTTTCAGGGGTTATGCCTAATAAAGACCATGTAAGGTTGTTCATTTATAGATGGTCACTTATCTAAGGTGATCTGATCACAGTTTCTGAACAAATTCCTCATGTAAATTCCTAAAATTGAGCTAAAATGACACTTTAAAAGGCACAATTTGCCCCAAAATGAAAATTATGCACGATTTATTTGTTCCAAACCAGTTTGTGTTTGTTAATTTATTTATTTCTGCTGCTAAAGACAGAAGATGATATGCTAGAGGTTGGTGGAAACCATTGACTTTCATAGTATGTTTTTTTTCTACTATGGATGTTAATGGTTACACAGGTGGTTTCAATCATTCTTCAAAATATCTTCTGTTGTGCTTAACAGAACCAAAAATAAAACCTCAAACTAGTTTTAAAAGGAGTCAAGGGTGAGTAAATGATCACACAATTTTCATTTTAGGGTGAACTGTCCCTTTAATGCCAAAATCAATCGTTTTGACCCTATGAGTGGTAACAGGGAATGTAGTAAATTTAGAAGATCTTTATTTGGCTCTAAAATCTGTATGTAAAAACACAGGTTGGCTCTTAAAGTCCACTTGAACTGGAAGTGTCTGAGACTTATAATTCAGCATGTTGAAGTGCTTCCAATTGAAACTGAATATTGAGTAGGGGGTGGGGCTTTCTTTTGCACACCATTCCCTATAGCGCAAACTTATGATAATAGCCAAACGCAGAAACAAATGCTCAGATTTTCATTGAAGATTACCAAAACTGTTTTTTTTCCAATGGATTAATTTGCACGGGTTCCTTATTCACCTCAATGCTGCGTTCACACCAGACATGGATGAAGCGTCAAGTGCGAGTGATTTACATGTTAAGTCAATGCAAAGATGTGATAGACATCCTGTGCCACGATTTTCGCAAATGAGACAATTTAATTTGTTTGCATTAGTTTGATGCGTTAACCAATCAGGAGCTTGCTCTTGTAGGGGTGTGATTGTGACGTAGCGCCTGTTGTTGGTGTCCCAAGAGAAAACCCTCTTGTCAACACATGACAACGATTGAATCTATTCATCTATTCTATTAACATCTGTTCACCTATCAAACTGGGCTCGGCTCAATCTGAAGCACCGCTGAAAGCCTCCATCATCCATTTACAGTTTCTGGAGGAGTTGATGAACTCAGAACTCGCTGGTGCACCTCTGAAAGGATCTAATGGACTGAGACATGGCGCCGGACGAATCTACGGTGTTTTTCAGCCTTCCTAAAGCACATAAAGCACAGCTACTCTCAATAAAATCAATGTTAGCCATTTGACAACAAAGCTAGATTCACCGGGCAGACAGAAGCCCTGCCCATGTCGCAAATCCACGTCTATTGTGAAGTGAGTAAACTCAAAATTATCACGGCATTTATTGGTACGTTCTGCGTCTGGTGTGAACACAGCATAAGAATAACAATGTGCGCTAGCAAAATACACATTGTACATTTAGATTTAAAGTGGACTTTAAGCCAAACTAAGCACCGGCTCCATCACCTAGCACCATTGGGTGGAAAAGCATTGAAAACAACTCGGGTCACTCAAACAACAAACAGAGGATAGACACTGTTGACGGACAGCAGAGATGTGTGTATTAAATCTAATCTGCGGCTGGTCTGTGATGTCAGAAACAGAGGATTTAGTTCACCCAAAAAAATAACCCCATTAAACCTTTGACTTATTTATGAAGAACCCGAAGGAGATGTTTTAAAGAATGTTCACGCTGCTCTTCTATATGCATATAAAGGATCTGTCAAACTCAAAATGTGACAAAAAAGCATCATGTTCCTTATGATTTGTGCACCATATTTCAAGTCCTAATTCGAGCGACAGGCATGTGTTAAGAACATATTGACATTTAAGACAAGCAGGCCTTCAGAACTGGAATATTGCCTAAAACATTTGCGAATAAAGCAGCATTTCCATCCAATTAGAAACAAGAGAGAACAAAATCTTCACTTCCTGATAACCTTGCTTAAATATTGTTGAGAGTAGTGCAGTTTGATGCACTGTTGGGATTTGCCACTCTGTTTTTTCTCCTCTAATAAATAAGTTGCACCTCCGAAGACGAAATGCAATGGTGGCTTTTAGAGGCGTGAGATTTCCAGACAGTTCAGATCTTTTACAAAGCTGGAAACATCTGCCGCATTAACTGCATTAATGCATCTCGTCACTAAATGCATTAACATCAGCGTGCATGCACATTTGTTCTTACTGTATAACGTTTATCCTACTCAGTTGTCCGCATGTGTTTTTTAATGCACATTTTCAAAATGTTTGCACGTGTTGTTTACATTAAGCATTCTTTAACGTGACAATCCAAATGTGTATTAAAGTAGTTGGATGGAATCCTAGCTATGAATTAGGTTTGTCTAAATTAAAATATTTAAGGGTAAATGCAATTTCAGGTGGGTGTTAATGGAAAAGCACAGTCAGCAAGAGCCTAAAACATTCTGTTACACCTGTCAGAACTCCTGTTAGCTAAGAAAATATGTTTGACTATTTAAAATAAAATCAAATATTCTTTATTAGAGGCCGAGCAGAGAAACGGTGCGTAGGCCCTTTTGGAATTGCTCTGTTTATTCTTCTGCTTCTCTGAAATGAATTGCGATTTTGAGGGTTCAAACATGCCCGAAAACTCACGAAACTTTGCACACGCCCAAGAAGTTGCGAAATTTACGTTTGTTGTAGGTTATGGAAGTGGGCGTGGCAAATTGACTCGACATCGCCACTAATGCATTTTTGAGGGACTGGCCCCGGAGTTACTATTCACGTACGAAAATTGACACACGTTAAACATGCCAATACCTACAAAAAAAAAAAAAAAGTCTCTTGGACCGAAATCTCAAACCCAAAAGGAAGTCAGATATTTTTAACTTCCTCCACCGAAAAAAGTGGCGTTTTTGCCATTTCCAGGAGTTGCATTTCAACGAACTCCTCCAAGGGATTTCATCCGATCAACACCAAAATTAAGTATCATCATCTAAAGGCCTTGGCGATGTTAAATTGCGAAGATCTAGAGTTTTCGTCAAAGGGCATGTCCATGGCGGCCTCACAACCTTTGATGATTTGCCATGAAACAGGAAGTTGTTACAAATCAGCCATGCATTATCCGATCTACCTTAAAATTCACACGTTTGATAACAGTCCTGACCTGAACACGTTTACATGCCAATATCCAGTTACAGTTGTAGCGCCACCTGCTGGCAACAGGAATTGACATGTTTTATACTGTAAGTAACTTCTCCAACAAATTTTATCGTATCAGCACCAAATTTGGCTGGTGTTATCTGAAAGCTCTAGCGATGATATATTGTAAGGATCTAGAGTTTTCGCAGAAAGGCGTACAGGCCGCATGACAAACCTCAGTGTTTTGCCATGGAAAAGGAAGTCCTTATAACTTAACCACACAATGTCTGATCAGCCTGAAACTTTACATGGTTGATTAAATTCCTTTCCTGAACACATCTACATGCCAATATTGAGTCACAGTCATAGCGCCACCTGCTGACAGGAAGAAGTTTGGCAGAAATCTGTAATTTTCTCAGGTTTTTTATATGTATCAGCTTAAATTATTATTTACACCGAGGTCCCTTTCATTGCTGCTTGCAGCTTTTATTATAATGTTGCATTTTTAAATGCACGCATAAGCTCAAAGCCCAGAGATGTTTTTACTATAAACTGGGTTATTTTAAGACTCGGTATACTCTTCAGAAGATTACAGTCTCGCTTTGAGTGACCAGACACACTATATTTCAGCTCTATTTTTAGTGTCCTGACTTATAAAAACATGTTTTGTTCTGTATTTCATTGCAGAGTACCAGTACATAAAACAGACCAATCAATAACAGCATATGTTCAAGTATACCGGACAAAACAGTGTATTTTTATAATAATTACATTACTGAGGCCAGGATCTGTGCAATCTGGCATCTGTGACCAAAAAAAAGTAGTTTACTATAATTTTAGCAAGGTGAAATTATTAATATTAAAAGGTATGATGAAAAAAACAATGCAGTACTTTCTGAATTCAGAAATCCCTTCTCAAATAATTGCTAAATCAGTGTTATATCAGCAGAACAACATTATTAAAACATCTAAAAATACATGTCACTTGTCTTATTTGTGATATCTGGTCACCTAAAGCTTTGCGCTAAACTATATGGCATTATTAGAAGTAATACAGTGTTGGAATTCATATGGTAAAATTAAACGTCAGGTCAACTGGTAAATAACACTCAAAATAAATCTCAACTGCTCAACATTTTTACTCTCAAAGTTGTTTTTGGCTCAGAATTGCAGTGCAACTTCCATTACTGACACCCACAGAAAAATACAAGTGAAAGAGCATCTTCATATTTCATAGAGACACAAGAGAACTGGCTGTGGATTCTTCCTATTCCTCCGTTTTATGTAACAGCTCTGGGCTGTTAGCTCGGTGAGCGAAAGTGCAAAATATAGGGTCGACCTGTTTAGCTTTCAGTGCGAGAGATTAAAACACCTCTTCATAAATCAACATCTGTCATAACGACAGTGTGCAAATGCTTGCGTCGCTCTAACCAGACACAATTACAGCCATGCGATCAAAATAATGCGCACTTAATTTTCGCACCATTGCATTCTGAACAGGTCATTACTCACTTTAATCCTTGAAGATGTCAAAAGTTGTGTGCAAATAAACAGGCAAATATGCCAGACGTGTCACCTCTCAGATTAAACATGCACAAATGAGATCTTTGGAGTTTGACAGACCTTATGTGTTTTTCATTTCATGGTGAAGAGCAGAGTGTGAACATCTAAAACTTCTCTAGTCGTAAGGTTGAGTAAATGATGAGTTTCCATTCTGAGTGAACTATCCCCTTAAAGGAACACTACACCTTTATGCTCTTTATACAGCTCCCCTTGAGTTAAACTGTGGAGTTTCACCATTATTTAATCCATTCAGTGCAGCTCTGGGTTTGGTAGGAACACTTTTAGCTTAGCTTAGCATAAATCATTGAATCAGATTAGACCATTAGCATTAGTGTTTCGATATTTGTCCAATTTAAAAGCTCAAATCTTCTGTAGTTACGTCATGTATTAAGACAGATGGGCAATAAAAAGTAGCTATTTTCTAGGTCGATATGGATAGGAGCTCTACTCTCATTCTGGCGTAATAATCAAGGAACTCTGCTGCCGCACCATGGCTGCAGCAGCGCAATAGTATTACATAGCACCTGAAAATAGGCTAGGTAACTAGAAAACAGCACTGCATCATTGCTCCATCTGTCTTAGTAAACAAGTACAGGAGAGCTTTAAACAGAAAAATAATCGAAACTCTTTTTGAAGGAGATGCTAATGGTCTAATCTGATTCAATGATCTATGCTAAGCTAAGCTTAAACTGATCGGCTGAATCGATAAATAATGGTAACTGTTTGAACTCTATATAAAGTTTAGTGTTCCTCAAAAACATGAGATGGGATGGGTTTCTACCGAGACTCAGTTGCTCTGAGGGAACGGTGGAGTGGCGGCAGTGGCGCTAGTAATGCTAAAGCCTGTAGGTGGCGCTGTGGAGCTATGGCTGGGCTGCAGGTCTTTGGGGATCCCGCTGTGGGAAGCCAATTGGTGTCCGAAGGCTGCGCTGAATTGTGGGAGCTGTAGTTTGGGCTCCCTTGAGGAGGGTGAGGATGAGGAAGGCTGCAGGATTGCGGAGCAATGGGATGTAGATGGCGGGGTGGACAAAGCCGTGGAAAGTAGGTGCGTTTCTGCAGTGAGCAAGTTGCCGAATTGCGCCGGGTCTGTAAGTGAAAGAGGAAGGTTATTCCAGGAGGTGCGCGGAGGTCCTGGTGCTCCACTCAAAGGCACCTCCAGAAGCAGAGGCGGGTCGGTCTGAAAAGAGGCACCGTGTGGGGGTGAGATGTGATCCCTGTAGGGCGATGGCACGTGCTCGCTGCTGTAATGACTACCTGGCGGAGAGGAGTCCGGTTTGGGTGCTCGAGGAAACGTTCGTTCTGTTAGCCCACTACTGGGACTTGTGGAGGACGCGCTGCTTTGAGTGGGCTGAGGAGAAGGGGATGATGGGAAATGGTGGTCTGTTTGGGCGTGGAGGAGGTCTAGATTGGGGAAAGTTTCAGATGTGATTCTACCGTTCAGCAGGTCTCCGATGCCGGCGGGTGTGACTCCTGATCCCGAGAACACGGTGGCCATGGTGCGGTGGTCCACCCCATCTGCCTGCGTCAGCTCTCCTATTGAGGACAAGCACACCAGCGAGTCGGGGTACGAGCCCATGGCCTGCAGGGCTCTGACCAGCTCTTCAGCCTCTTCTGTTGTGGGCAGCAACTCTCCATTCTTACCTGCATCCACAAAAGACAGCTCAGGCAAAGTGCAAACAAGACAGCTCAAAGGCGCCATTTAAGGAAAATCAGGATATACCCAAGCATTAGAGTTGACAATAGTATCGAGATTGGTACTGAAAGATTAAAAATGTCTGCTAACATTTAAGTGATCAGCGAGTTCTTAAGCACAGACAAAGTGCAAACAAGCCAACTAATGAGGTGAGCGTACCCTCAAAAAGGTCAAAGTCCTGAAGATCATCGGGTAATCTGGGCAGCACGTCAGAGAAATCTTCCTGATTGAGCTCGAGATCGTTGGGAATGTCGGGCATTTCATTTGCGATGTCGTCAGGAAGCTCGTCTGCACTGAGTTCAGGAGTTGACGGACTCCTGCAAGAGCAACAGACAGTGAACACAAGCAGAAACTGCGCTAAACTGAAGTAAAACATGTGCGAATAAAGCAGCGTTTCCATACAAAGAGAAACAAAAGAGAACAAAATCATCACTTCCTGATAAACTTGTATAAATATTGATCAGGTAAATGTAGCTGATGTGTTGAGATTTGCCACTGTGGTGTTTGTTCTTCTCTTATAAGAGAGATGCGTGAGATGGGGGCGCAGACAGATGCTCAAGACAGAGGGAATAATAATAGAAGAATAATACTAAAGCGCTGTGATGATGGACTGATGGAGGGCTGAGGCCTTTTACAATCTGCAATACAACATTTCAGATGTTCTGGATATACGACAATGTGCTGGAAATGCTGCTCTGCCCATTAATGTGTCCCATAACACAAATTTTGTTATTATTTTGTTATTTTCCATATTTTGTTACATGATCTGTTAAAATAGATAGATTTTTTTGATGCACATGGCAAATATGTTTCCATTGTTATAATTTTTTATTAAATTTCAAAATTAAGCACTTTTTACTTGATTTCCAACAGGCCACATGGCTACTAATGCAACTAAAAATTATTTGCCTCTATAGAAATTCAAGCTTATTGGGTCATAGTTATACTGCCTGAACTGTTCAGACACTTAATCAAGCTCTGTGCTTGTCCTGATCTCAGGCTAGAATTATCTGCATTTTTTAAAAATAAAATGAAAAAAAAAAAAAAAAATCAAATAAAAATCTTATTAAAAATAAATAAATAAATAATAAAAATATATAAATAAATACAAATAATAAAACAAAAAACACTTTTCAAAAAATATTTGCTTAAAATTTAATAATTATAATAAAATAAAAAATACAAACAATGAAATAAAAAAATAAATAATATATATATATATTTCTTATTATTTATAAAAATCTAATAATTAATTATATAAAATACAAAATAATATATAAAAACAAAAAATGTAATGGTTTTTAAATTATATATATATATATATATATATATATATATATATATATATATATATATATATATATATATATATATATATATTTTTTTTTTTTTTTTTATGATAATAAAACAAAAATCTAAAAAAATATATAAACAATAATCTAAAAATATAAACAATAAGATAAAAAAAAATAATAAAATAAAAAATAAATGTTTTTTAAATATATATATATATATTTAAAAAAAAAAAAGAAAATTATATATATATATTTTTTTTTAAACAAAAATATAAACAATAATATAATTTTTTTAAAAAATAAACAATAAAATTAATATAAAAATATAAACAATAAAATAAAAAACATAAAAATTAAATAAATATTATTTTTATATTTAAAGAAATGAATAAAAGACAATAAAAATAAGTATATAAATATAAAATATTTCATGTTTTTTAATAAAAACTATATATATAAAAAATTTAAATATATATATATATATAAATATGAAAAATAAAAATATTATTACAAAACAATTTTACTACAAAAAATTGAATGTTTTTTAAATTAAAAAAAATATTTACATAATACTTAAAAAAAATAATTAATTAAATTTAAAAATCAAATCAAATAAAGAAAATCTGACTGTTATGTGTTGGAGTGTATGGTGGTCACCTGACGTGAGCGTGGTGAGTGGGCAGTGAAAGCGAGGGCATCAGTAAATTGCCCTGTGGCACAGCTGGAGGAATGGGCTTCTGTGGTCTGCGTGGACCTCGTCTTCTCTTCTTCTTGTGTTTCTTGGTCAGCGCGGGTGGCTTGGTCTTCTTTCGTGGACGTCGCTGCTGCTGCTGCTGACTGCGTCTGTGGCCGTCTCCACGCAGGAAATTATCCTGTCACACACATTTGATAAAATGAGTAAAACCATTATTTCATAATATAAAATGTTTCATAATTCAGTATATTGTGATAATGAGCATGCAAAAATACAACTTTTGAAGTGCTTATAAAGAATATTAACATTGTTATGTTGGCGGTTGTTGTTCAGAGCACAAAATAATGAAGTTTAACAGGTCATTTCTACTTTCAAACATATACATTTTTACAAGTTCATTTATTTTTTGACTATTGAGAGGTCTTCTGTTTAATTCTGAGGTTTCTCACCATTTTCTTGGCATGTTCGTCACAGAGAGGTGTTTGGTGAGTGATGTCGAACACAGGGACTGAGCACTGCTGTCCGTCTGCAAACCGTGCCGTACAGCTGGAGAACAGCTGCTGAGAGCGATTCAGTAGGATATCTGTGCAGACACGCTGTCAAGAACATAACACACACACACACACACTAACACAGCAGTGACACACAAAGACACATCTGACATATGACAGACACATCTGAGAGCAGCACATAGGTGTTCACACTGACACTGTACCACTGCTTTTGCTTTATACAAAGTCAAAACAGTCCGAAAATAAAAGGGAAGTAGTATTAATTTCTAGTATTCATTCTTAAAAACCAACACACAGAAGTTAAATGCTTTTGCTTTTTTCTCCCATGGTGCATGACAAATCTGAAAATTCTGTGCCTCAAGGGGACGTATTCAAGCAGTCATGTCTGAATATCATATGCTACTACCGTCAGATCTTTATAGAACAAAACAAACACTAACACATTACTCAAGCCCACACCTAATAAATGCATAAAAACTGAAAAGTGCTCTCTTCATTTTATTTTCGTAGCTGCGCTTGTTCAAAAGGATACGCTGAAAACAGTGGCGTGAGAATGGCAGCGCTGTGTTGCTGCAGCTCTGACCCTTAGTGCTTCCCGTACACGCTGTCCTTTCATACTTGTGTGGAGCTGCAGACCTTGAACTGAACAAAACAAAATTTATTGATGCGAACACAATCATATTAAAACAGATAATCAAGTTCATTTATTTATAAAGCATGTTTAAAAACAGCCACAAGACTGACCTAAGTGCTGTACATGAGACTAGAGTGATATTTAGTCAAAAACATGGAGAAAACTAGAAATAAAGCAAAGGGAAACATCAGATACAGGCCCGTAGTCAGCCTGGTGAAAGGGGTGGTTCTTTTTTTCTCAAAAAGTGGACCTTTCTTAGCTATACCACAAATTTTCTAATTTAATTTTGAGAATGAAATATTTTTAGTGACATTTTAAGCACTATTTTAATTATATTAATAACAATTTTGAGCTTCATCATTTTTCTAGCCTTTCTTGTAAAAAAGTACATTTGAAAATTCATGGAAACAACAACAACCAAAATAGTATTCAGGTGAATTTTAGGGTGCTTTCACACCTACACTTTTGTTTGGGAACCCGTTAGTGCGGTTCGTTTGGCATATGTGAAACCACCAATCGCTCTCTGATCCGCGCCAAATCAATCGCTCCGAGATCGCTTGAATGAGGTGGTCTCGGCTCGATTGAAACAAACTCTGGAGCGGATCGATTGCAGTGAGAAATCAATACGATCCGAGCGCAGTTATATCCCAGTGTTTTATGGATATGTAATAGGCATACGGCTATATAAAGAGAGAATTATGAGTATGGCGGGAAGTTTCGCGAGTCTCCGGGTGACCGCAAACGAATGATTATCTTCTGGTAATCTCGCGTCTTCCTCCTGGCCCTCAAATAGGCAAAGTCGCGCACCCATCTCACCCCTCTCCACCGCATCTCTCCTCGCTCTTCAGACACGTCGCGTGAATCTTGTCAATCACCACCAAACCACCACCTCCCCCTGACAGCTGAGCGGGACTCTGCAAAATAAACCCTGACACTCTGACCAATGTGAGGAGAGTTTACTCACGTGACTTGTTTTAGCTCTTTTGGTCCGATTAGAAACTTTGCGGTGTGAAAGTGAACCGCTCCAAGAGCAAAGAGCAACAATGTAACAACTGTAATCTCTATTTCAGAACAACTGAATCGATTCACAGGTGTGAACGCACCCTTAATATGGGCCGCTTTTGGTGCTTCACACCTTTTTATTGGTCATTTTTTGTTTTAGGAATAAGGTCCAAGACTTAGAATAAAAGTTACTTGTAAAATGTTTTCTCCATTTAAAAGCAGTACAGTAGCGAAAGATACCTTCACTGACATCAGATTGTATGTTGTCTTGCACAGCTGGATATCGGACTCATGAAAAATAATTGTTAGCACCGGCCAAAACTGATTAGCTGAAGTCACACTGCCAACAGAGTTCCAGTTAGCCTTAAAACCTTTTTCGAGGAGTTATTTTCACTATTTGTGATGACATAGCAGTCAAAATAGGACAAATGAGCTCATGTATGGGACTAATTCTGGACCTGTGAGGGGTGAGTCTTTCCGAACCACCCGAACACCCCCTGGCTATGGGCCTGAGATACAGTTGAAGTCAGTTGAAGTCAGAATTATGAGCCTTCCTGAATATTATTTAAAACTTTTTTGGTCCAAAAACATACGAACAGAAAGAAAATATTCCAGAATTTTAAGAAAAATGTTTTTTTTAAAAAGTGTCATTTTCTAATTATTACAAACAAAACCTTAAGAAGTTTGTTTTTTCTTTAGAAATACATGCTATGATGTTTTATACTTCCAAAATAAATTTTGTCAACATCCACCTTTCCCTGAGCAAGTTATTTCAATGTTATTCTAAGGCGTTTTCTAGTGGGAAAAGAACTAATGTATTCATTTACTGACAATAAATATGCCCAGAAGTTCTGGGAATGAATTAAAAAGAAAGATTGTTACAAAATAACAGAACACTGAAGCAAGTTTGACTTTATTCAAATAATAAATTTTCAGTTACCATAAAAACCACCACTTACAATGAACAAATAAAAATAAGAAAATAAGAAATAATGCGTCAAAGTCCAAATAAACATGGTGCAAATCCTCAGTAAAAGAAATAGATATAAATATTTACAACACTATAAATAGTTACATAACTAAACTAGATTCAATATGGAACATCCTTAGGTTTTTTGTGCCAGCATATGGTGTTGACCCTGCTGCTCCTCAACTTTTGCATCGCAGACAAACAGCCACACCGTCATTTGCGTCCTTTGAAAACAGCAAGACCAGCACTTTGTCTTTGCTGTGTCACTGTTTTGTCATGTTTGTCATGTTTTGTCATGTCACACAATGTGTTGTGCATGCAAAAGTACTTAGTATAAGAATTATTTCATGCAAAACTTTTTTTGCGTTTTATTTAGCCGTGCGTAAATGTACAGTCTATCTCTTATTTTGGGTTGTTTAAATAGCTGATTGCTGGTCCACAAAGTGAAACCTATGCTTATTGGTTGAGAGAGAGCGAGTTTGAACCAATCTGGGCATGGAGGAGGGACAATGCATCAGTGTATTATGTCTGGTTTGTCCGGAGACACAAGCCACGAGCATTTCTTTGTCAAATCAGCGTTGTCAAAATGTGATGAGGCTGCACTAATTCCGCAGCCTCTGAAGGTCTGTGAATGTAATGTTTTACAGCGACGAAAAGCTGAGACTCTCTTCTTTATGCCAATCCTTGAATTGTACGGATCGGATCAGAAGATCAAAAGTTAATAAACATTTAAGAACAATACTTATTTTTAGCCGCGGGCGGCTGTCTCGGTCTTTAAGGCTTCACAAGGGTAATCAGGGTAAAGTTAGGGTAATTAGGCAAATTATTGTATAACAGTGGTTTGTTCTGGAGACAATCCAAAACTAACATAGCTTAAGGGGGCTAATAATATTGAGCTTAAAATGGCTTTAAAACTATTGAGAACTGATTTTATTCTAGCCGAAATAAAACAAAACAGACTTTCTCCAGAAGAACAAATATTAGAGGAAATACTGTAAACAACTCCTGAATCTGTTCAACATCATTTGGGAAATATTTGATAAAGAAATAAAACTGTATAAAAATCAAAACATAAGAATGGACAGCAAACGCACCAGCTGGAGGTCTGCGAGCTCCTGCTGAGTTTCTGAATGAGCTGTGCCGTGCAGTCGGGGTCTTTGCTAGCAGCATGTAGCAGTGCTTTCCGGAAGGCGTAACGGTATCTGCTGTGCCGGCTGGCGGCTCGGTCCCGTCGGCACAGGTGTTTATATCTCTCCTGCAGGTACGAGCAGAGCTGAGCCAGTCGGGCCCGCCGGGACAGAGGCTTGTCACTGGAGGAGCTGAAAAACACACACACAAATAAAATCTATTAATCAGACGGAGTAATGACATGCACACTGTTATATTAATAACTGGATATATACTGTAAAAAATATATAGAATTAACGAGATTTATTCTCTAGCATCTATTCACCCTCCTGTCAATATTTATTAGTTTTATAAAATTTCCCAAATGATGTTGAACAGATTCAGGAGTTTTTCACAGTGTTTCCTCTAATATTTGTTCTTTTGGAGAAAGTCTGATTAGTTTTATTTCGGCTAGAATAAAAGCAGTTTTTAATAGTTTTAAAGCCATTTTAAGGTCAATATTTTTAGCCCCCTTCAGCAATATTAGTGTTGGATTGTCTCCAGATCAAACCACTGTTATACAATGACTTGCCTAATTACCCTAACTTTACCCTAATTACCCTAGTGAAGCCTTTAAATGTCACTTTAAGCTGAAAACTAGTGTCTTGAAGAATATCTAGTCTAATATTATGTGCTTTCATCCTGACAAAGAGAAAATAAATCAGTTATTAGAAATGAGATCTTAAAACTATTATTAAGTGTTGAAAAAAATCTATCCATTAAATAGAAATTGGTGAAAATAACCTTTGATGGGGGCTTCTTTCCTGAAGTCTCCAGGCCTGAGGCAATAAAGGAACAAGCTCCTCTGTGTCTTCATCATCTGCACTGTCTTCAGACCAGTCTAAACCTACACACACACACACACAATCACACACAAAATATCAGATATCAAAACAGCCCCCGTGTCTGTTTGAAGTGTCATCTGAGCAATACCACAACCGGGTCAATAAAGAAAAAAAGTTGAGGAGTAATTTCTAATTCCCTTCAAAGCCAAGTGAGCGAAATAAGTATGTTTTCTAGCCCAATAAAGGCTTCTTTCTCATTGGGAAGTTTCGCAAACTAATTTTGAGAAGAGCATGCGATATGATCGTCTGCAGCTGATCATTATCGCTAATCATTAGCTAGCCTATCAGATCTTTTTTGAAAGACTCCGCACTCTATCCTTCCCAAGGATGAACAAGTCGGTACTCATTGCGCGGAGTTTGCATGTTCTCCCTATGTCTGTGTGGGTATTCCCCAGGTACTCTGGTTGTACTCGAATTGTAATAACAGTCACAAGCACTTAACGTATACATACTGAACCAATCAGAACCACCATATTAACCAAAGTATAGGTAAAAAAACGCACGTTTTCTGACGCTTCAGTTGGAATCTGAATCAGTTCATTTCTGCTCCTGTCAATAGGATTTTGTAACTACAACAACTGTGACAATCTTGATTCTTACGTGATAAGACTGAAAAAAAAATAGATACAGGAAACATTGAAGCTTTTTTTGACCACTTCATAAAGCCTAATTTGGTTGATAAAATGCTCTTTTTGTAACAAATTTAATTTGGTGTCATTTGTATCTTTATTTTAATGTATTTTTGTTGATCAGTTATCTACAAAATAAACAAAAAGGACAAATACATTTTAGATGAAGTGACATGCAAATACTTTTTTCAATAATGAGGGAATCAATAATTCAATTTAAGTAGGCCCATTATTACATAAAATATAGTATTTTTGAAAATGTTGTTTATTTCATGAATTTAAATTATGAATTACAGTATTGCAATACTATTGGTATCCCGATACTTCAGCTGGTATAGTATCGTAACATAAATTAATGGTATCGGGACAACCCTACCGTGTATATGTATTTTGTGTTTTTTGTCAAGACACATCTGTAAAAAACGCTAGCTACTGCAGTTTGTTTTGTTGAAAAGCTCATACCGAGATGTGGGAACAGGTCTCCATGCTCCCGCTGTCTGTTCGCATAGAGCTGCACCAGATGCTGTAGCCTGAGCAGGCAGACAGGGGGCGCAGTGAAGGCGGCGGGGCGCAGGGCCACAGAGCGAGGCTGCGGGCAGTCATGAGCAGACAGCGGCCGAGGGGATGCAGGTCTCCAGATCACAGGCTGATTCTGGAGCCCAGCCGGCGGGAGCGGGACAGACGACGCGCTCTCAGGTGGAGCCGGCTTGCATAGCAGAGTCTGTACTGTCCCGAGCGGGGCATATGTGGGCCGCTCTGTGTGCTGGGAGGGCTGGGGTGGAGAAGGTGGAGGTGGTGGAGGGGAGCTGGGAAGTGTGCAGGATTCAGTGACGGCGCTAAAGTGCTCGATGTCTGGCTCCAGGTCGCGTGCGGTGACTCTCAGGCCGATCACAGGAGTGCTGGACGCTTTCCTCTTGCTGGAGCTCCTCTGTGCAGGCCTGTCACAACAATCAATATATCGACTTATCACACATGGACATGACCTCACTCAATTAAAACCACAAACAAACTAATTCCAGCATCATTTTAGCTGATTGCACAACATCTCTATCTCTATTGGAGGTGTCAGTATGATTAAAAAAAACAATTCAGTATTTACTGTAAATAACTATAGTATATTTTCATGTGGGTGTCTGACAACTGAAAATAGATCTGGCAGCAGATATCGCAGCCTCTGTTACTCTTTATCTTGCACGTTATTGTTAAAATGTATTATTTATTTATTTAGGATATGCATTTTCATATTCTGATTCATATTCTGAATATGATGTGTTCTTTGAAAAGAGTGAACTATTGCTATTATATTGTCTTTGTGGCATTATATAATGAGTGGCATAAAAAAAGTCTTAAAATGACGCAATATATTTTGGTGTAAAATATCGTACAACAAAAATAGATATGGTGACGGGCCTACCTCTGCAGCAGGCTCTCCTCCACATCCGAGTCCTCCTCATAAAAGGCGAAGGGGTCGAGGAGGTCGGAGTCCAGCAGGGGCATGGGGGTTAGGCGGGAGCAGGGCGGGGACGCGGGCAGGCCGTTTGTGTCCCGCAGAGCCAGAGAGGGAACCGTGATGTTCAAAGCCACCGACTCCACATGAGCGCGGCTGCGGACCTCCTCCAGACCATCCTGCTTCTTCTTGCGCTCCTTCTTTGGGATAAAGCCCAGCACTTGTAGGTGACTGTTACAGTATCTGCAAAAAAAGCCAACCAAAAGTGTTAAGCCACAATCATACACTTGTTCTAGGGCACAAATATGTTTACGTATGATTCAAATGTGTGTTGAAGGTTATTTACCTATATAATTAGCTTACACTAGGGCTGGGCGATATTGCAAAAAAAAAAAAAGATCATGATATCATGTTTCATATCATTCAATATTGATAATTATTGAATATTTTTCACTATACATTTAGCAATATTAGGATTTTTTTTTATTTAACCACTTTATTTTATTTTACCAACATTACTAAGGCAAATAGTTTTAATAGTCAAAAACAAATAATTTAAACAATTTGCATTTGCGATTTACATGGTGTACTTTGCAAGTAGAAAAACTGAACGCTTCACTAGAGAGAAAACAGTTAAATAGAGCATCTACAGCGCGAGAATGAGATTCTTTACTTTCACTCTCGTGGATAGGGAAACGTGTTGTACTCAACAAACATCCATATACATAATTAATTTAGTTTGTTAAGCGCGAAGATTTGTTTCAAAACTATTTCTAAATTCAGTTTTAATTTCCAGCAAACGAATAAATGAACAATAATAACCAAGTGTGGTCAAATACACATGCTATTTTTAATAAAAAATATTTATATAAATATGCATATAATAAATAATACTGCTAATAATAATAACATTATACATTAATAAACTGACTTATTTAATTTTTATTTTATTTTAAGTTTTCGACATCTTGTTGCATTTTGTCACTGAATTTGTGTTTATTGTTATGTATATAGCCTATGCACTCACCAGCCACTTTATTATGAACAACTTATTAGTAATAGGTTGGACCCGCTATTGCCTTCAGAACTGCCTTAATCCTTTGTGGCAGAGATTCAACAAGCTACTGGAAATATAAACGATAAATCCTGGAGGACCTGGTTTATCGTTCAGCCCTAGCAGTACATGACACTGAAATGACAGTCTGAAGCCTGAACTACTGATTTGATCATACTACTAAACAACTTAAACATCAATACAGCTCAAAACATGCAGCTCAACTCCTTGTTCAAGCTCTTGTTCTATCCAGACTGGACTATTGCACCTCTCTACTAGCCGGGCTTCCAGCTAACGAACCTCTTCAGCTGCTTCAGAACGCAGCAGCACGAGTGGTCCTTAATGAACCTAAAAGAGCACATGTCACTCCGCTGCTCTTCCGTTTGCACTGGCTGCCAGTTGCTGCTTGCATCAAATTCAAAGCTCTGATGTTTGCTTACAAAGCGACTTCTGGCTTTGCTCCTTCTTATCTGCTCTCACTTCTGCAGATGTATGTGTCCTCCAGAAACTTGCGTTCTGTGAATGAACGTCGCCTCGTGGTTCCATCCCAAAGAGGGAAGAAATCACTTTCCCGAACTCTCGCGTTCAATCTGCCCAGTTGGTGGAATGAACTCCCTAACTGCATCAGAACAGCAGAGTCACTCGCTGTCTTCAAGAAACGACTAAAAACTCAACTATTTAGTCTCCACTTTCCTTCTTAATCTGCTATTCCCTCTCTGACTCCTCCACTAACTACTACAAAAAAAATTACTAATGTTTTGCTTCTTACACTTTCTTTACATACCTGAAACTTGCCTACAGCACTTATTCATTGTTGCTCTTAAAGTTTAAATTGTGTAAATAGTGTAAATTGCTTCCTTGTCCTCATTTGTAAGTCGCTTTGGATAAAAGCGTCTGCTAAATGACTAAATGTAAATGTCAATAAACCATGCAGGCCTGTGCATTACAGTGATTTTGCCACAGGTAAGGCTCTGGTCTTACCTTCGCTCCTCTGCTTTGGGGATGGGGTTTGTGCATCGCTGACTGTTGTACTTGGCCACATATTCGCACTGCTTAAACGGGGCCGTTTTGTCCTCCAGAACATGGCGGATGCAGAAGGCGTATCCGTTCAGTCTGCGCTGCTTACAGAGTTTGGGGCTGTAGGAGCACAGCGGCTTATTATCCACCTCTGAGAAATGGATGTGTTTACCTTCGTACATCACGTGACTCTGGTCCCTGAGAACATCAGCTGAACAGACACACACAAAAAAGTGGATGTTAAACTACGTTCACAAAAGCTAAATGTTTTTCTCTTCCATAATTAAAAAGTCACATATAAAGTCAAGCCCGAAATACCCCAGGGGTAACAGATATCTGCAAAAACATTGTATTAAAGAGCTTTGCTCAACAATCTGTTCTGCATCAATTCTGTGCTTTTCTAAATGCATTACTACTCTTTTAAATAGATTCAGAGAAGAGTGTCTAACAGCAGACGGCGCTCTAGGTTAGTTTCCAACAGCAGATGGCGCTCTAGGCTAGATTCCAACAGCAGACGGCGCTCTAGGTTAGTTTCTAACAGCAGATGGCGCTCTAGGCTAGATTCCAACAGCAGACGGCGCTCTAGGCTAGATTCTAACAGCAGACGGCGCTCTAGGCTAGATTCTAACAGCAGACGGCGCTCTAGGTTAGTTTCTAACAGCAGATGGCACTTTAGGTTAGATTCTAACAGCAGATGGTGCTCTAGGCTAGATTCTATCAGCAGACGGCACTCTAGGTTAGTTTCCAACAGCAGATGGCGCTCTAGGCTAGATTCCAACAGCAGACGGCGCTCTAGGTTAGTTTCCAACAGCAGATGGCGCTCTAGGCTAGATTCCAACAGCAGACGGCGCTCTAGGTTAGTTTCTAACAGCAGATGGCGCTCTAGGCTAGATTCTAACAGCAGACGGTGCTCTAGGCTAGATTCTAACAGCAGACGGCGCTCTAGGCTAGATTCTAACAGCAGACGGCGCTCTAGGTTAGTTTCTAACAGCAGATGGCACTTTAGGTTAGATTCTAACAGCAGATGGTGCTCTAGGCTAGATTCTATCAGCAGACGGTGCTCTAGGCTAGATTCTAACAGCAAACGGCGCTCTAGGCTAGTTTCTAACAGCAGACAGCGCTATAGGCTAGTTTTTAACAGCAGACGGCTCTCTAGGCTAGTTTTAACAACAGACGGCGCTCTAGGCTCGTGTTTAACAGCATAAGGCGCTCTAGGCTAGTTCCTAACAGCAGATGGTGCTCTAAACTAGTTTATAACAGAAGACGACACTCTAGGCTAATTTATAACAGCAGAGTGTTCTCTAGGCTAGTTTTTAAAGCAAATGGGCTCTAGGCTAGTTTGAAACAGCAGACAGCATGCTAGGCTAGTTTCTAACAGCAGATGGTGCTCTAGGCTAGTTTCTAACAGCAAACATCGCAGTAGGCTAGTTTTTAACAGCAGACGACGCTCTAGGCTAGATTCTAACAGCAGATGGCGCTCTAGGCTTGCTAACAGCAGACGAACTCTAGGGTAGTTCCTAACAGCAGGTGGCGCTCAAATGATGTGTTCACACCAGAAGCGGCACACGCGGATAAATCGCGATATTCGTTTGTAAATAGAAGCGTGAACATTTGAGTTTACTTGCTTCATTCGTGAGTCAAATCCCCTTTACAAGAGATGCGGAATCGCGTCATGGGCATGGCTTCTGTCTGCCCGATGACTTAGCTTTATTGCTAATTGGCTAACATGGATTTTATTGTGAGTAGCTGTGCTTTATGAAGGCTGAAAAACAGTGTCGATTCATTTGGTGCCGTGTCAGAGTCCACTAGATCCATTCTGAGGTGCATCCAGCTCTGTGAACTCATCAACTCCTCCAGAAACTGTACCTGGATGATGGAGGCTTCCGACTGAGCCGAGCCGAGTTTGATCAACTGTTGTCCGTTGTCGGCAAGAGGACTTCCCCTCGGGACACCAACAACAGGCACTACGTCAAAAGCACGCCCCTACAAGAAAATGCTCCTGACTGGTTAACGCAGCGCTAATGTCTGCTGAAGTTCAGATTTTCTAACTTGATCCATTCGCATGAAACGTGTTAAGCCTGTGAATCGTGCAAAACGCTCAATTTGCGGCGTTTCATACATGCGAATCACATCATCCGCGCCACCTCATTTGCCACAGGATCTCTAGTTGCATCTTTGCATGGTCTGATGTAAATCACTCACGCTTGACACGTAGTATAAGAATGCACAAAACAGATACAGGGATACTGAAGCATTTTAATGTCGCGTCAATCAGCTGATCTGTCAATTAGCTGATATACGAGCAACCTGCTGATAGATCCACTGATCTACTTGACTTTGAAATGCTCAAGTTTCCGAATATCAGTGTTTGAAGAGTGGTGAACTGATGAACTTCATGGCTAATCACAGTCTTTTCTTGTCTCTCAAATGTTAGCAGGAAATGGATGTTTTTAAAGTTTCAGCACAGATTGGAACCGAAGTCAAAACTTTGGACCACCCTACTCACAATGGCAGGGAGTTTACACATTAAAGTTTGGCAGTCACTTGATGGATAAATTATAAATTGGGCTTAACACAAACTATGCACACGCATGCTGATTGTTTTCATAGATTCCCAGATTGCGTGTTTACACAGAAACCACAATAGCGGGGATTTCAAAAACTTGCACTTTGAAACCAGTTCTAAAAATGATGAATTTTCAGTCCCCAGAATGCTGCTGTCTTGTAAACAGACAGTCAAATAGCATACAATTATTTAACATTTTTGCCTGTCATGTAAACAGACTCATACACTGACCACCTACTACAACACAAAGCTTGTCAATATTACATAATTCCCTGTCTATTACACATGATCCGGCACTGAAACACTGACGGTGTACAATAGAGCATCTCTGTTTAATGTTTGAACTAAAAGGCAACCCAGAGTCCCAGCTAGTTCAAGAGATCTTTGTCGTTAACCTATGACCGCAGTACAAGGATAAAAAACCAAATAATGTGACGGAGCCATCATATCACATAACTGTATTATGACTGACAGGATCATTCACCCTGCATTTGGTAGACTGGAAATATTTAGCCATGAGACGACCAATTAAAACAGGACAGAAATATGAATAATGAATAATGAATGGGGTAGCAAAACGTACTTTGATTTGTAAATAGTTTAAATATATGAAACAGAATGTTGAATATTTGTGTGCATCATGTCATATTTATGATAATTCAAAGTAATTGAGGAAAACGCGGACATAAGTTACAATGGTACGTGTCTAAACGATCTTATATCGTCAATTAGCGAATTAAAATGTTAATGTGGATATCATTAACGTTACTATACTGGTATGATCTTTCCATCAAGCTCGTACAACAACAAATGATCGATTTTGTTAAATAAACATCGCTGTCATCAAAACGATATGCTTATAAAACTCCTAAACCCAAACAATCGAATAGTACTTGAATACATATGCCTGTGCTAGAGCAAAGCTCTATTATTATTATGTTTAAATGTAGTTTGCGCCCCTGGCTGTCAAAATCGCACATTATTTTGATATTTCTCTCGTTAGCTAGGATGCTAAAAACAAACCCAGGAAACCGAAACACTGACATGATCCTGCGCTAGATTTAGTTTGGAAATGGCAAAAATAGAATTATAAGCTTATACAAGCTTTACATTTGTTATTTAAATAATGAATGAAATACGTAAAGTTTGTGTAAACTAATCGCTGCAAATGTTGCTATGAGTGATGGCGGATGAGGCCTGTCAAATCAGGCCGAAAGAGCGGGGCGCTGCAGCCGATGGAGGTTTAATAGTCGTTTAAACTAATCCTATTTACAAATAATATACATGTAAATTATTTTAAAATAATGCAGGATCACTCTATTATAGAATTGCTTCCGCAACACGATACAGCGAACCAAAATACGTTCTAAAGCGATGCAAACACTGGCCTACAATAGCAGCTAAGCCTCGGAGCTCGAGTCGAGCAGTTGAGGGGTCAGCACGCTCACGAGTCCGCTAGAGCAGTAATCGAGTCCGCTTACCAGCAGTGGGTTCAGCCTCTACGGGGTCTCGCTGTTTAAACGCCACAGATCATCAACTGCACCGAGTATTCATCGGAATTCCTTATGCTACTGAATACTGTTCCCTGCTGAGGTGGTGAAGCGATAAAGCATCCACTAATGTACTTTCGATATTATGTTGTCTTCTGCTCTCATTGAAACAGATCTGCGGGGGTTTAGAGTTCAGTGCTCGGCGGACTCACAGCTCCACCACCGGCGCCGCGGAGACATGACAACTGCTCCACTGCTGCTACTGTACCATCATCCTAAAAACTATGAGCACGGTGAGTCCTCTTCTTTTTCAAATCATAAATTACCCATTTACTTGTAACTTATTTTATTCATATCTACCCCTACCCAAACCCTCACAGTAATGTAGTAATTATTCTGAGTATTATTACATTGTTTATTAAATTACCTGTTAAATTGTATTTTATTGACGTCTACCCTTACACTAACCCTCAAAGTAATGTAAAAACAGTAATTATTCTGAGTATTATTCACATTGTTTATTAAATTACCCGTTATATTGTATTTTATTAACGTCCACCCCTTCAGCAACCCTCACAGTAATGTAAAAACGGTAATTATACCCAAGTATTATTCATAATATATAATTAATGACCCATTAAAATTTTATTTTATTAACGTCCACCCCTACCCCAACCACATTTCAACCCTGTTAATGGTAATTATTGTACATTTATTATTTTATTTGATTACATCAAATGTAAAAGTAAAAGCTTAATGTAGCCAAAAATAAATACAAATTTTATTCTCTTTGCAAACAAGACGAAGCATTTCAAAACGGAGTCTTAAATACTATAAGATTTAAGATGAATATAATTGACAAAAAGCACACAATAAAATGACTAAAAATGTCAAAATAAAACTTGAGAAAATCTTCATAACCTGATTTATGATATGTAATTCATTCTGGATTAATCTTGTTGGATTAGATCTTCTGGGTTAATTCGCTGATCATTCGCTGTTGTTATTATTGTGACTATTGATGCCATTATTACCATTTTCAAGGTAAACCACATTTTCTGTCTTGATTTCTGCTGCCACATTCGGATGCTCGGGTCAGAATTTGGCCTCAACAACATGAAAGCATGGATCATCCTGCCTTGTATCAGCGGTTCAGGCTGGTGGTGGTGGTGTAATGGTGTGGAGGAGATTTTCTTTGGGTCCATTAGTACCAGTTGAGCATCAACGCCACAGCCTACCTGAGTATTGCTGCTGACCATGTCCATCCCTTTATGAGCACAGTGTCTCCATCTTCTGATGGCTACTTCCAGCAGGATAACGCAGCATGTCATAAAGCTCAATCATATCAGACTGGTTTCTTGAACATGACGATGAGTTCACTGTACTCAAATGGCCTCCACAAGCACCAGATCTCAATCCAATAGAGCAGCTTTGGGATGTGGTGGAACGGGAGATTGGCATCATGGATGTGCAGCCGACAAATCTGCAGCAACTGTGTGATGCTATCATGTCAACATGGAGGGGAAACCACTGAGGAATATTTCCAGTAGCTTGTTGAATTTGAAGGATTAAGGCAGTTCTGAAGGCAAAATTGGTCCAACCCGGTACTTGTAAGTTGTACCTAATAAAGTGGCGGGTGAGTGTATGATATATATATATATAGATATTTACATTTTTATACAATTTGTATCATTCATTAATTTTCCTTCAGCTTAGTCCCTTCATTAATCAGGGATCGCCACAGCGGAATGAACCACCAACTCATCCAGCATATGTTTTACTCAGCGGATGCCCTTCCAGCTGCAACCCATCACTGGGAAACATCCAAACACACTCACTCACACTCATACACTACGGACAATTTAGCTTATTCAATTCCCCTAAAGCGCATCCCTTTGAACTGTGGGGGAAACCGGAGCACCCGGAGGAAACCCACGGCAACACGGGAAGAACATGCAAACTCCACACAGAAATGCCAACTGACTCAGCCAAGGCTCGAACCAGCGACCTTCTTGCTGCGATTTTACTACCCATTGCTCCATCTCGCTGCCCACAATTTGTATCATACACATATATATTTTATATCTAAATATAAATAAACCTTATCTCAGATATATGCATACATGTGTGTAATTTTATATATACATAATAAATATACACAGTACACACACACTTGTATTATGTCAAAACAAACTTTTATTTTGAATGCGATTAATCACAATGAATTTTTGATTTGCACTAGTTTATACATAATACAAATTATATATATAAATATACATAAATAGGGTGAGGCAGTGGCGCAGTAGGTAGTGCTGTCGCCTCACAGCAAGAAGGTCGCTGGGTCGAGCCTCGGCTCAGTTGGTGTTTCTGTGTGGAGTTTGCATGTTCTCCCTGCCTTTGCGTGGGTTTCCTCCTGGTTTTCTGGTTTCCCCCACAGTCTAAACACATGCGGTACAGGTGAATTGGGTAAGCTAAATTGTCCGTAGTGTGTGTGTGTGGATGTTTCCCAGAGATGGGTTGCAGCTGGAAGGGCATCTGCTGCGTAAAAACTTGCTGGATAAGTTGGCGGTTCATTCCGCTGTGGCGACCCCGGATTAATAAAGGCACTAAGCCGACAAGAAAATGAATGAATGAATATACATGAATATGTTAATATGTAATACAAATTATTTCTTTTGGATATTTTTGCATTTTATGTGCAATTTGTGTGTGTGTGTGTGTATTTCTACATGCATGTATACACATAATAATATATAAGTATTAATAAATGTATAGATTTTAATTTTAAAAATTCTTGCATTGTGAAGAAAAAGTCTAATTATCTATGGAAAGCATTGTTAATGCACTGTGATGCACCGAGATATTGAATTGAGCCAAATCGACGGCATGATAATCGTAACTGAATCGAACCATGAGACCAGTGTTGGTTCACACCCCTCATAAATATACATTTACACATGTTATGTAAATACAAATGTTTATCTTGGTTGCATTATCGTTTAACAGCGCTTTTAAAAATACTTTTCTACACAGTTAAATTATGTTGTATTAATTTTATTTAAAGTGTGCTGCGCACTATTGAGTATACAGAGCTGAGGCTTGACATCACAAAATTAAATCGCAATATCAGACAGAAAAATCACAATTCGATATTTTTAACACTTTTTAAACATTTAATCACAGTCTTTTTGGATTTTACGAATTAGCTCAACCAATATTATTAAACTACCCAAACATGTAGCAAGTGCCAGTTTAACAAGCAATACTTTGAATTACCTGTAAAAAAAAAAAAAAACACATAAAAAATAATGTACATGAAATAGTATAAGCATAAATAAACAAATACAATATGCACAGATGCTTTTTTTATTATTTAAATTTTTCTTATTGCGAAATTGTATAAAGCTGCACATTTTATTTGTTGTCGTTTGTTAGTTTTCAGACACCAAAAACTCTGTGGAATAAATCCTGCTGTAGTATTTAAGCGCTAGAGGGCGACAGAGAGACACACAAAGACATAAAACTGAACACAGGAATGTTTGGGGGTTTTTGAACACAGTAAAGCACAGCAACGTGGCAGTATCAGTACATCTTTACATTAAAATAAACAGAACTCTCACAGGCATGCGTATATTAATCATATTAAGTCTTTATATGGTACACTATAGTATTTAAACCATGCCTTAAAGTAAAAATTATGACTTAGTCTAAATGATGATTTAAAAAGTCGAAAAGATTAAAAGATTAAGACTTAAATAACTCAAATATTATAAATGACTAAATCAAAAGTATCATATACTAGCACAGACTGTAAAAGACACTGAATTACAAGATCAAAAGTCTAAATTATGACTTTAAAAACTCAAAATTATGATTTATTAATACAAATTATGTAAGATTTAATAGGTTAGTCATAATTTCGAGTTATTATGTCATACATTTTTTGACACACACACACACACACACATATATATATATATATATATGGTTTTTTTTTTAGAGGTGAAATTGTTGTGAAGAGGTTGTGGCTGGAAGGGCATCCGCTGCGTTACAGCTTGCTGGATAAGTTGGCGGTTCATTCCACTGTGGCGACCCCGGATTAATAAAGGGACTAAGCCAACAAGAAAATGAATAAATGAATAAATGAAGACTTATTAAATCAAAATGATAACTTACCTAATCAAAATTCTGAATAAAAAGTCAAAATCATGAATTACACAGTCAAAAAAAAATAAATAAATAAATTTACCAAGTCAAAATTATGAGATTAAAAAAAAAATCAGAATTATGACTGCTAAATTTGCAGGTAAATACACTAACTTTAAGATTGACCAAGTAAGAAAACAAAGATCACCTTAATACAATCATAATAATCTGATCTTGCCTAGTAATGTGAAGTACTGTAAAGTCCATGAATATCGTGTGTTTAAAGAATCAATAGCATATGCATGGTGCTCTGGAAGTAAAAGTGTTGAATAAGCTGCAGGGAAACTCTGGCACACCTCTACTTTACCGTGTTTTTGTAATATAAGGTGTCTACGGTGTGTGTGGTGAATGATGGAGCAGCTGCTGTCCTGGATTACTTCTCATGTCTTTTTTCCTCTGGACCAAAGCCCGGAATCAGGCCTGCTGGTTCAATCACCTCCACATTCATGCTTTCGGCATTTAGTTTGAATGTGTTAGACTTTGAATAGATTTCTTAAAGGAGACATATTATGCCCTTTTTTACAAGATGTTAAATGCATCGCTGATGTTCCCAGAGTGTGTGTAGTGACGTTTCAGCTCAAGATAACACACAAATGTCTCTCTGAAACTGACCCTTTCAGGCTTTGATCCGAATTGGGGTGTTTTGGTGACTGTCGCTTTAAATTCAGATGAGATTGTGCTCTTTACAGAATAGGGCGGAGCTAAAAATGCCTATATGTCAGCATAGAGATTCAAAAACAGGACTAACTTATGCTAATGAGGGAGAGATGTGCACTAGTGGGCATGGCTTTCCTCCTCTGATGACATCATACAAAGGGAGAATGTCAATCAAAGTGTTTCTGCAGACTGCTTTCATCAAGTCTGATTAGAACAAACACAATTAATACATGTTGAGCATTAGAGGATGGAGATATTCACACACTGCTGACACACAACTGGGGTAAAACCCCTTATAAAAGTGATTTTTAATAATAGGTCCACTTTAAATGGTTGGTCATTATTAGCACTGCGCAATATTTTTAGCATGGATATCGCGATGTGCAAATCCGTAATAGTCACATTTCAAGATCTTCAATGTAAGTT